AAGTTAGTTTCAGAGCTTGCAACAGACCTTTTGTAAATATCTGTAGATATACTTTAAAAAGTAAGTTCTGTTTTAGTATTACTGTTTTAGAACTCTGATTCTTATATTGTTGGCTTCTACAGCTTCTCTTAATCACTTTTCTGTTGTTCACTATCAAGAGCTGCTTTTTCTTATCATTTGCACTGACATAGTCAAGAAGTAATAAGGTTATGTAACGTTGTTGGTCATTACAATACAGAAATACTAATGAGGTAACCTGTATCACCTGCATTTCACAGGTGTAGACAGTGATCTTGATGAGCCCTAGAAACAGTGGAAGCAACTCTTTCAAACCCAGATGCAGCTACCAGAGCTTAATGAGCAGAAAATAGCTCAGACCTGTGGGTTTTACTCCACTCACAGTCTATGTACATCCCATGCACATTTGATCAGCCTAGATTTTTTTATCTGTAGCATTTGCTGGGGGTCAGTGACTTTCTGCCGTTATTTCTAGACCGCTTTGCACTTAATATAACAGAGTGAACAACATTATTGACTTAACTCTTTTACTGTTTCTGAATCAAAGCAGACAGTTTATACAAATGCAGAGGAAATAGGGGGTCCCTATGAATACCAACAAATTGTGTCAAAGGACAAACATTCCAGAGCCTCATCAGCAGACAAGCAGACCAAGTGTTCCGTAGTCTCAGGTGAAAGTTTCTGGGTTTTCGGTGGGTTACTGCTTGCAGGCCTATTCTGTGAAGTGCATATTCAAGCCATCAAGAACATCATTCAAGTCGCTCTTAATTTCTGAAAAAGTTAAAAGCTCAGCTCTTCTGTACCCTTACCCTTTGAAGAACCTTTCACTGTAGCACTATCCCAGCAAGGAATAAGAAAGAACTAGGGGTAGGCTTTGTCTCCTGTTCTCTTCCCACTCTCTGGCCAGTCAGAACTCTAGGGCCAGATCTAAAGCTTAGAATGCTGCTGCTGGCACATGGATCATAAGAAAAATGGCAAAACCCAAGATTCTCAGGCTTTAGAAGCAGGATCCATGCGCTTTCCGGCAGTGTCCAACATTAAAAATCACTTCCATTCTTCTGACCTTTCTTGTCAAACACCTGTGATACTACTGAAACGTTTTAGAAGCACAAAAATAAGCTGTGCATAAAAAACCCCACAACTTTCCTACTGCAGGTTACCCATGTAGGAGAAAAAGCATCACCTTGACAATATTATTCCATGTGTAGTATCACGCATAGTGTTTAGACTGTACTTGAATTGGATCTAATTAGTAATTTCAGTGAAGAAAATTTACTACTGACACAGTAACCAAAGAGCAGAATATTGTTGCTGTATCTCCAGTTAACATACATGCAAAACCAACTTTGTGTTCAAATGGAAAGCAGGCTAAGGAACAATGGCAACACCTCAGACACCATAGATACATACTTTTCTTCTTTCAGCTACATTAAGTTTATTCCATTTTCCAATTTAAAAAAATATATTAGAAGGTCCCCCTTTTTTTTCTTTTAAGAATAATTGGTTTTCTAGGACACTGAAATAGTATATCTCCTTCTACAATTCTGTCTGTCATCTCCTACATTTACAACAGAGCTCTTCCAACTCTGAAATTTAACCACAGATTTGCCAAATTCAGTAGGCGCTTTGTTTGACCAAGATTCATATTGACAAACACCACACAACTTGTGCTATATCCACCAACTGTACGATTAAGGAAATGTCATTCTGCTGAAAGCAGTTTACTTAGGCAAGGTAGCCTTTATTTTATTTTAATAAGAGTTTGATGTTTTCACATCACACACAGAAGAACCAAAGACAAGTAGAATGGATATGTAAGATTTCAAGCATGTGGCATTTCCCCCAGGAAACATTAGTCAACTTGGCACCTTCCTTTCCAGATGCCAATGGTATTACTTTCTGGTAACTGAACATGATCAAACCTATTTACCCTCTGTTACAAAGCACACATTAGCAGGCATGAAGCCATGTTGTAGGTTTGGTTTTTGGTTGGCTTGGTTTTTTGTTTTGTTTTTTTTTTTAAGTAGCTGTCTGCCTCCAACCTTAGACAAGTTTTTCCTAAGCATCACTTTTTGAATCATTGTGCAAAAGACAGGCATGCTCCGAGATCTCACAGGCCATGATTGTAATAGACCAGTCATGAAATAGAAGAGACACCAGCCTTGCCCACAAGATGCTTAGAGATCAAAATTGTCCTAACATCTTCACAGGAAAAGAGGCATCTACAGATGCCAAGATGACAATAAGTGCCACAAGAGGTAGAGGGTAGGGTGAAATTATACCTTATGGCCAGGCCTAGAAGTCCTAGTGAGGTTATCACTAAAAAAATATGGTGATGGAATCTGAGCTACTGCAGATTTTAATATACTGTTTATTATATGAATAAGAGCGCACAAAAGAAAATAAGACCAAGGAATGTAATGGATCATGGTTGCACCCAGTTGCTTCAAGAACAAAACTTGAACAGAGATACAACAGGGATGTCTGAAAGAGCTTCCTGACCTCCTTTTACATATTGGTGCAATCAACTTATCGGATAGGGTAGGCAGAGACTAACCTGTGTGGAAGAGATGCAGAGTTCCATCAGAGTTGAACTGTGAACAAGCAGCAGAAGAGAGATGTCTGCTCTTTCTTTTTATAGCTGCTAGTTCCTCTTCATTATTTGTGTGTGTGTTTGTTTCTTATGGAGAAGTTTGTAATGCCATTGGTAAATGTTTCTTATTTTACAGTATTGGGTAGAAGAGGAGTTTCAATAATCTTCTAGTTATGATAAACTGAGGTGCTTGTGTTGTCTGGGACATACATGAAAAGTAACGAGGCATGCTTTTATGCAACTGATCGAAGGTAGTCTTAGTAGATGGAGAAGGATTAGCACACTTTTTGCTCAGAAAGAAAACAGATGCCAAGTCAACATAGGAGTAATAATGGAGTATTTCAGCTTTAAAGTAGACTTCGTTAAAGACAAATAGATGCACTTACAGATTTTAAAGACCTGAGTAACAAATTTCCTTTACTGAACTTCTGAGAGCTCTTATCTGTGTGTTCACTATTCTCAAAAGCTTTCTGGTGAATAAGATTTATGAAATAGGTGAAGAGGTAGTGAAGTTGTTCCACGTTGACTGGAAACATGTCTTGCCTGAGAAGTCCTTGGGATGATCAATACTTTGTTATGAGCGTTCTCTTCCTAAGCTATCTGGTTTTCATATCAGTGTTGCAGGATATAAACTGAAAAGGCTGAAAGTGAGAGGACAGTAAGTGAGATCCCCCAGATTTTGTCTAAAAGGAAGTCAGAAGATCAGCAAAAGAAAACAAATTTCAACTAAAGGAAAGCACTAACAAACATGCAAGTCCTTTTAGAGCTAACAAAAGTTAGTCCAATGCATAGCTCCTAGTTGCTCTACCAGTGATCTTTGCTCCAAACTCTGGCTAGAGATAGATCATTATTTCATCTGCTTGCTCAATAGATGACTAACTAATGACTTGCGTTACAGGAAGCATTATTTGAGGCATTAACATATGAAAAAAATTCTTCAGCAGCAGTTTCCATTAGATATTAAAGTTTGTCTATCAGGGCATTTAAGTCCTATTCCTGAATTACGAGAGTATATAACCTTCATGAATGGACTATAAAGAAGGTATTAGGTATCTGCAAGAGCAAAAAACACAGGTCTAAGTAAGAGGAGTCGTGATGGACATATGCAGAAAGAACAGGAAAAAAGAAGCTAGCTTGTAACAACTTAGAAAATACAGAATTAAGTTCCGGAGCAGAATTTAGAGATAACATATAAACAGGGGAGAATCAAGCAGAACCATGGCCAGAGAATTTGACCAAATGAAAAACCACTTATAGCCAATTTGGTTTTATAGGGAGAAGAAGCCACTAGTGATGCAGTCTTCTACTCTCACTTTCATATGTGGGAGAAGCTGTGAGGAAGTAAATCCCAAGTCTGAGAAGTTCCTCTACACTTAAGGTACATAGCATCTTAGTTGTGGATCCTGTAAATCCTGTTCTCTTGAATAAAATGAAGCCTTTGTATTGGTTTCAATAACACAGCGCATAAAAGGTTAACACAAATATCTATCCACAAAACCTCCCAAAAAAAACCTGCAAACACTTCAGCACAGGACAAATTTAGACTTCAGTGAGATTTCTGAAAGATGCTCAATTCAGTAACTCTAGCCCTTGCAGAAGTAAATGAAACACATTGAGAAGCATAAATATAACTATGCATCTTTTTCATTCATGACTTCATCTACTTTTTCTTATGACAATCATCCATGACAGCACATTCCAAGTAGAATCATTCAAGTTGTGTTCAAGTGTCCAGGAAGTCCTGTGTGGTTATGAAAGCTGCCACCAAATGAGGGGCTTTTGTATCTAGCAGTCACAAACAATTCCCAGTCAGGCAGAAGCAGTCCATCATGGATACTAAATCAAGTCTTTTGAAACCATCTGACAGTAATATTTAATATGACAGAGTTGCTATCAAAATACAACTTTATTGATGAAATACTGATTAAAAGATCAACTAAATGTAGGACAAAGACGTTTCAGAAACTGCAGTGTGAACTAGGTTTTAAACACATTTTTAAGGAGCTATACAAAAAGGGAACAGTTACGACAACCAATTTTCTCTGGCAAGCTGCTCAGACACGGACTAGTTCATGTAGCAGGCTTAGGAGATCACCTACGCACTGATGCAATATCAACATTCTTTAGTGAGTCCCGTGTGAAGTATTGCAGAAATGGCTACAATCACTGTTCATGCTTACATTTGAAAAACAATAAATAAAAAGTTAACAACAAATTCCTCTCTATAATACAAAATGTATTTGTCCTCTACAAAATCACAGGAAGTTCTCCAAGAGGAAAGTTTCTCCCAGTGCAGCTAAAGATTCACAAAGGCGTTCTTGGAAACAGCTGTCAAACATGCCACTTATTTCCTCTCTTAACTCCCTCAGCAGAGGCACCGTGGACTTACCATCTGCATTCAGAATTCTCCCAAAAAGTTTACTCCAGAAATCACTGTCAACAGTCCTAAAACAAATAGAGAGAGCAGTTTTCAGTGAAACAGTATGCATACATGACATGTCTGTCAAGATTTCCATTTATATTCAGCACTAAATGCCCTGGGAAAACCAAGTCTGAAATAATAATTTCACTCACATGACTAAACGTAAAGGAAAACTAGGAACGTATTGTTGAAGTTTATATGTGTGGGCCCCTTTCTCCAACAGGCTTCTGGATAGTAACTAGACAGGCTGTATCACAGGTTTAACAAAACCACTATTTTTACAGTTACCTTTTCTGTACCTGACCACTATCACCATTCACATTGAGCCACGGCACTTTTAAATTAAAGGAGTTAAGAGCATTCTTTGAACCAACAAAGTTGGCAGATTCCTTTGACGAATAAGGGGTAGAGGTAAATCTTATTCCCCTGTTTGCAAGTTAAGTTCACAGGTCAATATTAAAGGAAAGCTGCAAGAGAAATAAAAAAAAAAAAAAGTGGTTTACAGCCAGTTTTCCTTTTTTTCCCTGCCTTCCAACTGCCAGAGTTCTCATATAGATAACATTTCAAAGACAATTAATAGTAATAAATCCCCTCTCTCATAGATATACCCACACAACATGAATAAAAAGGTTAAATGACTCATTAAAGTCTCAGAAAACTGGTATCAGAGCTAACCCTTTGTTCTTTAGTCTTGCACTGAAGTCTATAGACCACACTGCTTCTGACTACTGAAGTACTTTTCTCCCTCAAGCCAGGGGTTACACTGTCTTTTGAACAAATTATCTGCCTCTGCTTTATGTGAGTGACACCACAGCAGCCATAATCTCAGAAGGAATCTGGCTGGTACTATATTACATTATTAAACTCTTACATTTTCTAAAATAACGAAGTCATACAGAACCTAACAAAAAAAACCCCAAAAAACAGCCAAACAAACAAAAAAAACCCATGCAAGACTTGAGGCCATTTCTTTCATGGACTTAAGACAAGAGGCATAGCTAAGGATGTTGCACGTTGGTAAGGATGTCTAAGGAGTTATGAAAGAAAAAGAGTCCTAAAAATTCAAACACAGCTTCTATATATTACCTCGCATAAGCCTGTGCATATGAAGTTTCCAAAAATAGTATAGTGAAAACAGAAAAACTAAAAACATTCCTGGAAGTGAAAAAAATCTCCAAATCCATTCTGTAATAATGGTAACACGCTAAAACACCCTCCGCTGTAAAATAGGTTGTCAACCTTACAGTAATGCTCAAAGATTGAAGGAAAAAAAAAACCCAAAACCAAAAACTTGGATCAGAATTCTCATTCTACCTTTCCAGAAGTCTTTACTACAACATTGACTTTAGTGCTTTGCCTTCATTCTGTCAGCTTGTAAGTGGGTTCTGCTTTATTAGTGCCATTGGCTTTAGAAGAACAATTTTGTGCTTTGCTATGCAATTCCCCACTGCTTTGATATTTTGTTGAACTGCTAGTAATATTAGTGGCTTTATTAGTAATTATACTATCTTTAATACTTAAAAAATAATTAAGTCCTTTTTTAAAAGCTTTCCTGAGATAAGGTTGTCATGGTTGTTGCATTTAACACCAGTCAGCCTTCTAGTAAGAAGCCTTCTTTCTATTTGTCACTGCCTAAATTCTCACAATATTCTTTGATGAAAGATAACCTGTCAATACAACCCTCAAAAAAACCCCCCAACAAACCCAAACCAACCCCCAAAGAAACAAAAAACTACTTTCCAAGTCACTTATAGAACTTCTAGCAGAAAGGACAGAAGTAACATGATCTTTACAAGAGAAAAGTAGAACCACTAAAAGCAGTAGGAAAAAGAATCCTGTGTCTTCATGGGTGTTGGAAGTGTCACTGCCATGCGTGGCTGTATGCAAAGGATAAAGCACAAGATTAATATCCATCAGCTGACTCTTCTCACAGAGAAGTGATTAATTGTGCAGCCCCTTCTGGTGGATGAAGATTCCCCGCAACAGTAAACTTGCTTGTCGGAGATTACTTGAGAATTTACTGAAAGCTTCAAATTGACTGGAGGAAGTGTCATCAAATAAGAGGCAGACACACTAAAAGATCTACATGTGAATGCAAAAAAGATCCAGTGCAGATTCCTTAATCCTGCATAATGAAATGCCTTATTTACACTGTTGATATAAGACTTCAGTATAACATGTAACTTAAGCACCTATACAAACACTTCTTGGACTTGATATTGAAAAATAAGTGTAGAAGATGAGCAAGTCTTCTATCACACTTTCAGAAGCAAAGCAGAAGACAGGATGGAAAACAGAAATTCCTTATTTGGACTCCCAACTCCAAAGCAAAGTTATAAACCGAAAAAAGTTATATACCGAAGCAAGTGATGAGCCATTACAGCCTGGTTACAGCTATACAGAACTCATGCCCAGGGTTTACCTTTTTCCTCCTTAGTCTCCTCTAGTCCTTCACAGGTCTCACTCCCCTTCTACCCAAGTCTCCCTCCAAGTTCTACCTCTACCCAGAATACTATTTCTTTCGATCCAGTGTCCCCAGCCTTGACTGAAATTCCTTTCCAATTGACTCCTCTCCTCCAAACTCCCTATAACAGCCAGCCCTATTCTTCCAAACTCAAGACTTTCTATACCTGCTACTCAGCTCCTCCTGCTCCAGTTATCCAGACAGTTATTGCTATTTTTCTCATACCTACATCCTGATCAGGTCCCCAACACACTGTTCCTACCTTCTCAACTCAGGCCTTCTGTGGCTTCACCTGCAGTATCTCAATTTAATCTCTTGAAGAATTAAAAAATAAATAAATACTAAAAATTTAATTTAAAAAAAGGCAATGCTTATCAGAAATCTGTCTTTCTATCCCAACAGAATATTGTTAAAAACAGATCATGTTCTGATAGAAATTAATATATAGGAGTCCTATTTTTCAGAGGTCAGAGTTACTTAGCTACAAGATATGTAATGTTAGAATATCTGTCAGTAGAGAGCAAAAGCCAGTCTCCATCAATGATTTAGTTGCGCTTTTTTTTGCCCCCCTTTTTTTATAGCATTTCTGAAACAAAGGCAGTATAACATACATATTTACTGCCAGCCTATACATCATTGATATTCATCTCTTCAGAGATGAATCGCCCTTGGTGATTTTGTTCTTCACAGCCTAGTCCTGCAAGCTGATCCTCTAAAGAAAAAACAAAAGCTACAGGGTACAGTATGGCATGCATGGTGAGTACTCAGCAGAAGCCTGCTGTAGCCTTTTAACTACTGGTATCAGTAGTAGAAAAAACAGATATATGCCCAGTAAAGGAAAAATCGGTTTTCCCCTGTACACAGCTTAAGAAGATGAGATTTTTTTTTTTGAAGGTTGAATACAAACTAGGAGGTATAAGTCATGCAGGTTGCTAGGGAACTGGACAACTCCCAGATTGGTAGTAGGTTTTCTTAAAGCAATGGTTATAGAAGTATATACACACAGTAAGTGTGGCTAATATACCATGATCTTGAATGCAGATATCTGTCAAGTAATTTCTGTCATGAGCAGAGAGTTCTGGAAAATCCTTAAGAAATGCTAAGGCAGAAAATTCTGCAGGATACAACTAACAAAATGAACAAGTGTTTAGTCTAAGAACAAACAAAGGGTAGATGAAGGCAGAGTAGTCTTGCAGCCAAAACATGCGGCTAAAAGAGAGCAGCAGAAATTAATACCTGAGGACAAACAGCAGCTTCCAAAAAGAAGCTGCTTGCACATGCATCTTAAATTATAATTTTAAATTATTTTCCTTCTTGTGCATGTATAGTATTTCTGCAGCTGTTACAGACAGAACCCTGGCATTACTGTCTTAGTAGCCCTTCAATATAGCCTAGAATGAAAAAAGTAGAAAACCAAAATAATCTCCATTTCTAAAGCAACATGCTCATGTAATTTTTTTTCCTCACCACCCACCCACCACCCACTTAGAAACTTTTCCAAGCCTGGTCTATCAAGTGAAAAGAGAGACTAAAGGAGTGTGGTCTGAAAGGATAGAAAAAGCAAAATCATCTTAACTGGACCGTTATGCTCATATTCAGTTTAAAATTGTCTACTACACAGCACTAAGGCTACTGTACAATGAACAAGTCTAGCAGCATCAAAATTTAAGTCCTTACAGAACTAATGCTTTTGGCAATAACAGCACAAAGTTCTGTGTTCTAAGCTTTGAAGATGGTACCATTGTAAAGAAAGCAAAGGAAGTTAGAAGTCTGTTCTTTCCCAGCAGCCTCCTCTGCAAAAGGACTTACTTTGATACATTTTGGCTGATTTTCCAGATGGAATTCTCTTGATAGACCTGGACATGAACCCCAAACAGCATCAAATGGACTATATCTGCAATGCCAACCAGGTCTACCTGCAACAACAACAAACATCAGAAAGCTCAACTTCCGTCAATTTCTGCAATCCACTACAGATTTCTGCTGGTGATGCTTCTACACATTTAAGTCTGAACCAGTCTTTGCATCAGAATCTTCAAGACCTGCTAAGCAAGAAAACTTCAAAAAGTAAAATTCTGGTCTTACTGTAGGTTCCTAAATAAATACAGCAGTCACAGGCACTCGACAGCACTGTTAGTCCCTTCACTTAACGCCAAAGATTTAATCAGGTGAAAAATTCTCTTTATTCAGTATTTACTGATCAGAGCTTTCCACAGCATTTGCAAAATATAACTTAAGAAAATAGAGATTTTGTAAAGGAAACACAGAAACTAACATGTCTTGCTACATACAGACTCACCTGATAAGGAAGAGAACTTTTCACCAGAAGCTGTTGTCCGTGAGGGGTCCGAGATATGGGAAAGCTGTTGGGCAAACTTACTCGAGGCTGTAATCTCAAATCTAGACTGTGAGAGAAATCCACTATCTTCAGAGCTCTTGTCATCTCATCGTTAGCAAACGGATCACAGATCCTGAGCAGAGGAAGCAAATGAAGCATAAAGCAATCCAACACACTTTTTTTTTTTTTAAAAAAATGAAATTTAACAGCATAGTGAAGGTGAGTCTTAGCTATGTCAATGCTCCCCTCTGATGGTTAGCTTAAGAACTACTGCTGAAAGGACTACCCCTGGATGGGGAACCAGCTGGCAGCCTGAAGCTTAGAGATGATACTGGTATCTCCTGAGTAAGCAATGGGAAACACTAAAGGATTAAGGATGACACTGTTTTGATATCTCTCACAGTTATCTGAAACACAGTGGAACAGCAGAATAGTGCAATGTTTAGCACTTCTCCCTCTCCTTCAAGATCTTGGAATACTTTATACAAGAAAGAATTAAGCTTCATAATACTTTAATAAACCTTTCCTAGTCTATACACTAGGGAGGACAAATAGAAAGGGCAGTAAGAAGTATCTGTATAGATGACAGTGTACTGCCAACCAACAACATAAACAGATCACATATCCAAGTCCATCAAGCCACTATTAGATCAGTGACTTCCAAAATAGGAAGCATGCACCCTAAGGGATGTGCAAGACAATCCATTGGGGTGTGTGAAGAAAACATTAGAACTTCAGTAGTACATGTATGTAATTTATAAATCAATTATATAAGTTATAAAGAAATTATAAATAACGTGTATTGGGGGTGCGCGTGTTAGATGACTGTAGGTTCAAAATAAAGTTCATAGCTATTTTTAACATATCAGTGAAGACTAAGAACAGCCTTAGTGAATTTCTTCTAATGGTATTATATCTAAATCATTAGACATTCCAAAGTTACTATCTTCCCACACTTAGTTCACAGATCACATTCCAAGGGATATGTGACTTTGCTAACATAATATGGGAAAGAGCTTGAAGAAAACTCTGTGCATCAAGTTACAAGTTGGACTGTAGTGGAGGCTAAGCAATCTGTTGAAGAGAGTGTCTAGATATTCCACTCCCACCTGCCCTTTGTCTTCTAACTTCCTGTTTTCCAGATACATAAAACCAGAAGGCAAATTATTTACCAATATCCAGTTAGCTGTCCAGTACAGTACATTGGTAAAGTACAAACTTGAGAACACAGGCAATAGCAAAAACATTTTGTTTATTATAAGTTTTACAACAGCATTGTATACTATTTCTATAGAAATAAACAAAAGGTTTATTCCTAAACAAAGTGTTTTCACTATTTGCAGGATACACTGTAGCCTAAAAAAACTGGACTGCAATACCAATACCCCACCCAAAGAGGAGAAATTACAAAAGCACAAGAGCTGTAGCTGTAACTGTAACTGAGTATTTTATATCCTCCCATGTTCATATAAAGAGACAAACCTGTCTCCCAGAAAGAACACCTCTGGACGCAGATCTCCATGGACAATCTCTGCTTTGTGGAGCTTCTCTACCACACCCAGAAGATTATAAACAACCAGTAGGATAACTTCCTCCGTCATGGACTTACAGCCACGAATAACATCCTGAAAACAGGGAATAAACGTGCATATATATGTCATTCTATGTTAGATTAAGTGAAATATTTATAGCTCACCTTTTTTTCCCTACTCATCTGTACAGAGATAACAGTCCTACCCTAAAATTCAGTATAATCAGATTTTGCCCATGATCAGTGCAGCCAGAATTAAAAGAACCATGAGCTCCTAGGAGACCCTATTATTCAGAAGTGGACAAAAGATCAGGAGGAAATTGGAACTGAATACTGAGATTACTATTTAATTTGTATCCTATTTATATGCAACAATTCAAAATGCACTTACAAGACTTCATTTAAAATGTAAATCCTTCAGCAAGACACTAGATGTTATGACCTTGCTACAGCAGACTGGAAGACTGGAACTCATTGAAAGATGCCAAGTTAAACAAGAGTTTTAGATGCAAACCTTATTGTGGAATAACATGTGGCTCTTGGCTCAGGTCATTTATCACTCGTGAATAAAGAAAATGTGAAAAATTGGTTCAAGTTTGTCTCTGAGAAGCACATGATCTATGAATGAGAAACCAGCTCTAACTAAGGCTGTAATAGACAGTCTTAACTTGTATATAGATAAAACAAAACCCAGAGGATCTAGATAGGAGGATTAAACACGTGAAGCTATCTTCAGGAATGAGCATAATGACAAACAAAACTCACTAATGGTACTCTATGCAAGAGTTCATATCTTCTACAATTGTACTTTATCTGCACTGACCCCAAGCGTGAAGCGATTTATATCCCTGTGCAAAATAGCACAGCCATCTTGATACAAGTAACAGCTGCAATTCTCACTGAAGCTTTGGTCAAAGTCAGTATTCAAACGCTCCCGTAACTGAAGCGTGATATAAAAATCCCAAGGCACAGGCTGAGAGTACACCTACAAGAAGGTACATAAGAAGAACGTTTAGTTTTGGAATAAAGCAAAAATTGCTCATCTTCATATTCTTCTCATCCTCTTTTTTTTTCCTCCCCACTTTACCAAGGAAGATATTTTCCACAGTCAGAAACTTTTATTCTATATCAACAATTAGAAAGAGGACTTGAAGTAGCAAACTTCATGCACAGAATTCAGAAATTAAGACCAAACTTACTACATTTTATTTTATATTGGCTGAGGAGATTTTAACATTTTACACTTTTGTATAGTAACCATCGTATGCATTACCTTTATTGCAAATCCCTTTGCATCCAACTGGGGAAAGTTGGCTGGAATGGCAAAAACCATCTTGTATTCTTCATTGCTCCAATATTCCCATTTGATACAGTAAGTCTCATTTCCTGTTATGAAAGTTTACATTTATGAGCTGTCACAGCAAATATATGTACCCAGGCTGTGCAAGTTATTCCCCATCTACATGACATAAAACTAGTGAGGGTGAATATGAAGCATATTTCAAACCAGTTAGCACATAAATAGATCCTTTGCACTGTAGAGTGTCTGGCATACCTACCTAGCTCAATGTCTTTCTCAAACTCCATGACAGGCAGCACACCAGTCTCCAAATGAAAATCTGGAGCAGCAGTCAATGATTCTGGCATAGGATCTAAAAGCTTTTTACGCTGTTCAGCGCTCCACAAAAACTGTGTTAGATCATCAGCTAGGAAGACAAGTAATAGAAACAGATGAACTGAAACTAGGTGTTGAGTCTGTGACTTGATTATATCTGTCAAGAAGAAGTAACCTGGATATTGGAAGCTTTCTATCTGCATACTAATTTACTGCATCACCTTTCAGCAAGTCAATTAATCTCTTTCCAATAGTTTCTTGTTCTGTGAACATAAACACCCACCTTTTAAACTACCTTACAGACTATCTCATCATGAATTCTCAATGATTCTATGGTAGCGTCATGTAAAGTGTATCTTTCAGAAGAGACAAAGCTATGAATTAGATTAGGTACATCTGCTCAGCCACAGCAGAATTCAAACTCATTTTGCAAATTAATACTCCTTTTTTATTTAAGCCTACGTCCAGAGTAAGTGATCAATTTGTGATTTTTTAAATGAAGGGGTTTATTGACATTCACTCCTTTGAATACAACAGGAGTTTTATTTAAGAAAAGGAAAACAAAGTTGGATTCCAACTCTGCTTCTCATTGCAATATTAAGAATTTAATGGCTTTTACCTCCTGGAAGACACATAAGATAATTACATGTAGGTCTGGGTTTATTTTCCTGCATAATAGGACAAAGAAGAAAAAAAAAACATTCAATAGAGGAATTAATCTGTACAAAACCAAGGTAGCTTGAAAAGTGTTGATCTCAAATGATCAGGCAGAGTAAAACACAGCAGAACTAGATAGCTGCTACTGACTTCCCTTCCCAAAGACTATGACTAGTAACACATGGCACCATTTTAAGCTTTCACAGTACAGAGGTAAGAATCAGAGTATCATTACCTACTGTTATACTCATATTTATTTGAAAAGCATTGCAGTAAGATATTGCTCAGGAAGTAATTCTGTGAAAGTAGATCCAGGAAATATGGTAGGTTGAAGGCTAAATAGGTGTTCCAATATTTTACCATCACAAACCTATGTAATTTACCAGCATATTTTACAGGAATAAACTGACAGACATCTGAAGTAATTTTTCTGCTCTACGCAGCATTAAGGAGTCCTCAGTAGAATTACTACATCCAGGTTGAGAACTGCAGTTCAAGGAAGATGTGCAGAAAGCAAGAAAAAAAAAGCAATGGGAATGATCAAAAGTTTAAGAAAGTATCATTAAAACAACTGAACAAATGCCTTCTTTTTCTGAAAAGAATCCATAGAGATTCTTCACCTTGCTCTAAAGATTAGTGCATATGATAAAAAACGAGTGTAAGATCTATCCAAAATATTTCAGCTATTTCAGTGACGACACTCTTCTCCTAATTGTATTTTCATTCCAGGTCCCGAGCTTGCTTCATCATAAAATAGTCTGCAGACACACAATAACATACTCTTCTCTAGAGTAGGTACACTGAGAATTTTCAGATAAACAATTCTAATTAAAATATCATAAACCGAAATCAAAGGAGTTAAAGCAGGTTAAACACCTTGAAAACCGTCATTCAACACAAACCTAATTCTATGGGCCAGATTTTTAAGTACTGCTATTGTTTTCCTTCAATAGGAAAACAAAACATACTGTGAAGCAGCACAATAGTTTACAGCAACGTTAAGAGTGCAAATTTAAAACCAAAATTATGCCATTTTCACTAGATTTAAAATTCATATTCACCTTTTTCAACACGGCACTTATACTGTGTATTCTCCTGATGGGCTGATTACAGAGAAGAAAAAAAAAAAGACAAAAACAAAGCTGTCTTAGAAGTTCTCACTACCATCCAGTCCAAATGTTTTCATTTCAGAATTTGACCTCATTACTCATACACACTCCCTGCTTTAATAACTTAAATAATTCCTCCATCACCTTAATATTTACATCTTCTGAATGCTGACAAGCATGTTACACTGTATACCTCACTGCCACTTCTGACAAGCAAGACACAAGTTCAGTCATAAGTCAAAGTAATGGGAAATACACAAAAAACAGAGTAGAATATAGAAAGTACAGAAAACGCAGCATAGTTTAGAGACAACTGCAAGTTATTTGTGAGTGAAACTCAGTTTAGTACTAACCAGTAATGCTTTCACTGATACCTCCAGAATCAGTAACCGTTTCAGCAGGCAAGCTCTGAGCAAGTTCCAGTTTCTCAGGGATATGCAGGTATTTAATAGTAGATATTTGTGTAACAGAGGAAAGAGAAGATCCTGAGGAGACAGAAGAACCTGACAAGCGAGTATCTTCCAGGCTTGCTTCCATGATCGGGCTGTAAATAAAGGCATCAACTATTCAGACTTTCAGAGGATACAGTGTCTAGATAATGCCAGCCTAGTGACTATGAAAGGATACTGTGCACTCCCAGACTTTAAAGTCCTTTCCCATCCTTAGTGGAAAACCAATAGTTATGTCAGAGCTTCATTTTAGCTTCAAATGATTGTTTCTACTCAAAATCTTAGTCCACAGATGAATTTTATCTTCTCTTCCATTAAATATGACTGCTACAATAGAAGACATACTCAATGTTTATTACTCCCTTCGTTACCAAAATTCAGACCTACAGTGCTTTTAAAGCAACAGAGCATTGGGCAGGAAATAACTTTTGCTCTTCCTTCCTAATTATAATCAGCATGGCTTCCCAGGGAACTTACCAAGTAAACAAACACCTTCAGCATGGTATACATGTTTACATACTAACAGCCAGCAAATCAAACTCAGTTCTAAATTAAGAAACCCCCATACAACAGATGCTTTCTTCTTTACAATGATAAGAAACAGGAGGTTGTTTGCCAGTTTTTTTCTTCTCTCCAGCTTCTCTCCTCTGTAGAAGAAATCTAAGCCATAACCACCAGATGCATTTCATATACTAAAATAACTACAGAAGCATATGAGTATAAAAGGAACTGATGATTCTACTTTTAATCTCTGGTTACAAAGACAGAATGTGTTTATTAATTTCTTTGCAAGTTATTTGGTAGAAAAAGCATGGAGTTAAGTCCTGCAGCAGTAATGCCGAAAAGCCAAGTGCTCTTGCTATTACCTCTTAAATCTGCAAAAGGCAAAATGGACCCTGAGCTAGAGGAATGGCTGTCTTCAATATATTCTGATCTCTTCAGAAAAATGTTTCTTCAGCAACATAATAGTAAACCCACAACCAACAAAAGACACACAGGAAAAGGAGCTTAAGATGCTTTGCTGTTAATTACCTCAGTTTATTTACACAACGAGCTTCATTGTACACTCCCTCACAAACCAGCGTTTCCTGATTCAGAGATGCACTCTTAGATTCTGGACAGTCTTCCTTCAGGACACTCTGTGAAAAAGCAGGAGCTGGGACTCTCTGAGCTAACACCCCATGAAAGGGCGTTGAGGCAAGATGGGCAGCCCTGACAAAGTCACATGTGTCTTCTGGGTTGGCACAAATGGTTTTGTTCTTGTAGGAGCCTGTCACAATTGCATCTTCAGACAAAGGTTCAATTCCATTCAGCTCATCCTGAAAAAAGTAGGAAAAGACAGTGAAAAGCCTGCAGATTTTATGTCAAATTTTCTTTTATTTAAAAGCTGTACATTTCTCTCTCCCTTGTCTTCCACACCACCACTTTCCACCATGAATCTGACACTCAGTCTTCATGTACTCTACTTATATTGCTCATTCAAATTGACTAGTTGAACCCTAACCGTAATATAGTTGCATATTTTTTTTTTCCAACTAGAAAGGGTAGCTTTGTTACCCTCTAGAGTGCTGCAGAGCTGCCATGGACTGTTGAAGGCTACTCAGTATCTACGACCCCAGAAGTGCATTTCAGTTCAGTTATAAGCACGTTAAAGTGTTTACTAAAATGTTGGGCATTGAAGACACACAGAACATGTGAAGCAGAACTATGCAGTTATCCAGAATGACTCTAGAACCAAAGTCAGCATGATGCTTACCATGCTTAACCCTGCTAAGTATTTCATATTGTAGTTGTACGTAAAATCCTCTCACTCAACCAGTCTAAAGTTACTGCATGCTGCAATAGACAAGTCCTTTGGTGAGACAGCAACTACTGCCTCTACTGAAAGCTTTAAATATCTGCAAAACTGCCACATAAAGACACATAGCTTTGGAAGCAAGATACCAAGGTTTAAAGGAGTCAAGCGTATGGTACTTGGGGTGAGGAACACAGGAGCTGAGATGCTTGTTTGGATGCATGGCAAGAAAGCAGATAGAACAGGAGGCAGCGTTTAAGAGTGCAACTCTTAATCGCACAAACTTTTCTAAGTTTCAGCGTGAGTAATCCTGGCCACTCATCTGTTGCTTAAAATTTGGAAGACTCCTTACCATCATCTCCGTATTGGCCACCTTAAAGCCTAATAAAAACATGAAATTTCCAGTGTAATCTCAACATCACCCAATTCAAGTATTGCCACACCAGAAAGAACTTTAGAATCCTAGCTTATTGCACATCATGTCAGCCCAGCCAATCTCACTCTGTTCAACAGTAGAACATTCTATGTTAGTTTTTCCTTGACAGGAAATCTGCAATGGGGTAAACTGTTTCCTTACACAGGCTTCTGGTGGTACATTTTCCTTTGCAGTTAGAGAATCTGAAGGTTTACGAACAGCAAGAGGGCGCCGGGCACTTTTCTGTACATGATCTGCAGAACAACTAAGACAAAATTACATGACATTAAATATTTATTAGAGTAGCTTCTGACCTTCAACAGAGATTCCTCTCAAGAGTTTAAGTCTACTGACAATTTCAATCTACCACTTTCTACTACAGAACTACCAGTAAACTGCAATATATACAGCTCTCCAGAATGAAGAAGGTTTATATAGCAACTTAAATAGTTCTAGATTGAGGAGGAACAAGAAGAGAGTATTTCCTCATCGTGGACTTCTTAAGTAGAGTAATGAAATAAAAAAAAAAAAAAATACACACAAAACAAAAAAACACCCCACACCCATAAAAGAAACAGTACTGTATTTCAGTTGCTACAGAAAGTGGTTTGATACTTCAGTTTTCCCTCCATCTGACACCTAGGTCTTGAATAATTCTACCTTATATTCTCATTTGCCAAAGTAGAGGATTCATCAAATATGGAGAAAAATGTAGCAGGATTGGGTGGAGGAAGGAGAGCTACATCTGTAAAGAAAAAACAAGAGGCTCTATTATATCAACAGTTTTTCCACAACACTCTATCCAATGCTACTTAAACATTTAACACACAGTCTTAAAAATACCAATCCTAGCAGGAAGTTACAGAACTGACATTTAATGAAACCTATTAAAAAAGGCTTGGTTTTGTCACATTAATGAACCACACTTTTACCACCATATTATGTTAGCTAGCTTGCTCTTTTTAGAATATGCTTCAGAATTTGTACCTTTGTTTCCAAGGTTGGCCTCATCTCTCTGTTCCTCCTGTTCATCCTCAGAGTCTAAAAACACATTTCCCTTTTGTGTATCCGGGCATACATCAAGAGACTGGATAAGGTCTGTCAACAGTAACAGCAGTCAATTCAGGTCAAAAGTAAATTTCTTCAGCACACACCCTTCCCAACAACAAGACTGAATATATAATTTCTGATTGTATTCCTCTGCCAAATCCTCTGAGGAAAAAGAAGGACTTAAGATAGTATCAATCTTAGTGTTAAACTCTCTTACAGATTTTAGTAAGACTGCATATATGAAAGTGTGAAGAAAGCCCTTCAGCTATTAAAAGAAAAAAAGCTCTTCTGCTTGAAAGTCCTCTCAAATAGTGTCAGCTCTCAGATGCTCAGTCTTTTGCTGAAGATGGTTAAAGGAACTACTAGCACGTTCTCATTTTCGTTCTTCTAATCCACCTAGAGTTTTGGTTTTAGTTTGTTGCAGTGTTGCTATTCATATAAAAGAACGCTTCCCCTTAACACGGCCTTCTCCTTAATGGTAAAAAAATTGAAATACTTACCCTCAGAACAAGATGGTTTATGTAGTTCAGTATCTTCAGAGACCTGGAATTCACTGTAAAAAAAGAGACAAACTTCTTTCTTATATTTTACACACCTTCACAAAACATAAACAATTTTTGTAAAAAAGGCAAGCCAAGCTGACATATGCTACTTGTAAGAAGTTAAGATCCCTCAGAGAAATAATTTGAGAATATATAAAGACAGATTACAGATCCTGGTTACAGGCTGATGCCTAGGAGTGTATTCCATTCTGCCTGCAGAAAGAGGCTATCTGTTAGTGATCCATGTTACTCATAACTTATTATCCCCACAAATTTTCTCATTGCTGGCAAAGAAAACCCTGTATTACCTTTGCAACTGAGGCTGTTTCTCCCTAACTTCTGTTGCACAGGAAAAAGTAAGTCCTTGCAGTCCCAAAGGTGGTGAAGCTTCTGTTATCTCTGTTGGCTGTAGAAACAAAACCATATTTTGGTTCTTCAACGATGGAAATCACAAGCCATGCAACAACGTTCCAAGAACATTATGATAATCCTGTGTAGGTCATTAAAGATGGATTAATAGTTGTCTCTAGCTATTTTTATTTGTACTTAATTTACTTGCATGAAAAAAAGTCCATTCTTACAGTAGTTTAAATACATAATTTTACTCTTGGCAACCGTATACAACTTTCATAGGATATTTTAGTTATTCTGCAACCATTAAAGACACATGTAAGCAGTTATATAGCTTACATCAAATCCACAACACTTTGTATTTCATTATTTAAAATATTTACTGCTAAGGCATTGTTTTGGAAATGGGGGGGCAGGAGGAGAGAGAGAAAGAAAGAAAGAAAGAGAGAGAAAACATACTTTATTAGCCCAACTGATGACATTGGGAAAAGGAAAAGCTTTAAAATAATTAACTTTTAGTTGTTATTTGCAACCTATAAGAAAACTGGGGTTTAACACTACCTAGCAGTGACAGACCAAAGTATACTTGCTTGAAAGACACTCTGTTCAACACTGGTCTGCATGGAAAAGGAAAAAAAAAATCTAATACATAATAAAGCATACTAATGTCTATAAAACTTGGAGATCAATCAATCAGATATGGTTTTGTGTACTGTCTTAGCTGGGATAGAGTTCATTTTCTTCACAGTAGCTGGTATGGTGCTATGTTTTGGATTTTTTACCAAAACAATGTTGAAAACACACTAGTATTTTAGCTACTGCTGAACAGTGCTTACACAGCATCAAGGTCTTCTGTACTTCATGCTGCCCCACCAGCGAGTAGGCTGGGGGCACAGAACAAGCTGGGAGGGGACGCAGCTCAAACAGCAAACCCAAAGTGACCAAAAGGATATTCCATACCATATTACATCATGCTCAGCAATAAAATCTGGAGGAATGAGGGACATTCAGAATTATGGTATTTGTCTTCCCAAATAACCATTGTGCATGACGAAGCCCTGCTTTCCTGGAAATGGCTAAACATCTGGCTGCCAATAGGAAGTAGTGAACAAATTTCTTATTTTGCTTTGCTTGCATGCACAGCTTTTGGTTTACCTGTTGAACTGTCCTTATCTCAAGCTATGAGTTTTCTCACTTTTACCTTTCTGATTCTCTCCTCCATCCCACTGAGGGGGAGTGAGCAAGCAGGTGTGTGGTGCTTAGTTTCCTACTGGGGTTAGCCCACACCACTTTGAAACCCTTCACTTCTTTCCCTAGTTCCAGCTTCTTCTCCTGTCTTATATAGAGAATTTGTAGTGCAAAAGAAAAGGAAACTGCCCATAAATAAGAGTTAAGAAAGAGCAATTAGCCCTTAAGCATTTGGCATGCCTTCACTTAAAAAAAATTTAGAAGTTTATACCTTAGCATAAGGTATATCTTATCTGATTGTTAAATAACTTAACAATACTTGTAAAGTAACACTACAAAACTTGAAGTCTTTGATTTACATTCCTATAGTGAAAGCATATGGCTTGGGGACAAGTGAGGAAGAAAAGAAATATTTCTCTGAGCATTCATTTACTGGTGATGTATGCGTACAATAGACTGAAGCATCCTTTCGAAAAAGTTTAAAAAGAGTTAGCCAAAGAGAAACATATTAGATATTGTTCCTCCTTTGGTACTTTTACTAAAAATAGTAGCTATTTGTAAAAGACCAGTTAAATTAGGACAATACCTGTTCACGCAGCTGTTGCTGCTTATCACCTTCTTTCGTCTTTAATTTCTTCTCCAGCTCCTCAATTTTCCTTTGTATTTCTTCCTTTTTCTGTGCTATGGCCTGCATCTCCTCTAAGGAAGAAAAGCTTATAAGGCACAACGCATATTTCACATGCAATCTGTGGCTAAAGCCTAAATTATTTTTAAAGGGCTAAAACTCTGGTCTTTTCCGTTTCACAGCTTACATATAAAGCTGTCAGATATGTTACTTTCCCTATACCTCAGAGCAGTTAAATAACTATTCCAGTAGAAAAAGAAAAGCAGCTGCAATAAAAGACATCTGTATGCTGATAAGAAGTAAGTATAATTTTATGATTCCATCTCAGAAAGTCTTATGTCATGCCATTTCAAAGCATACCTTCAGTTTTCTTTTTTGCTTTCTTTCTGTAGATTTCAGCTCGGATCTCTTCCAAAGAAAATTCTTCAACTCCAGCATAAACTTTATCTTTACAGTACATCACCACTTCTTTCTTTTCTTGAGTGTCCTGCTGATAATTTTGCACTCGCTGTAGTGGGTCCTCCTCTTTCTCAGGTTTGCGAGCACTTAAAACACGGTTTATGCTGGGTTCAATTTTGCAGGGAGTCCTGAAAAAACACGCAGTTATTACTTTAATTATACATATATCACTGTAACATAGAAAAGCAAGCATAGGAGAGAAAATAGCTAATTTCAGAATCTAGTTGTAGAATAGCGTAAAAATATTCTGTTCTGTTCATAGAAAAAAACAAACAAGAAAAATGGGATGACAGCACATAAGAGGCAAGCATACCAAGTCAGAATTGTGTAATCAAAAAAAACCAACCCCAACCTCAAAACAAAGAGTTAATAAAGGCCCAGTCAAAATTCTTATGATACTCTGAATTGTGCATTTTGGAGCAGGATTTATGTTTACTTTAGCTCCATTGATCTGTGTGACCACACAGGTGACAAGTCCCTAATTGTCCTACGAAAGAGAGTTTATCTGGGGGAGTGGGGGAAAGAATCTGTGGGACTCAAAAATGGAAGATCTTGGACTAGATTAAGCCTGGAATTTTAGGTTAAGAAAAAAAGAGAAGACTTAAGATGCAATAAGAGGGGAATTTGCTCAAAGAGAATGTTTTGCATGCCAAGTGACAGAAATGAAGTCCACCATTACAAAAACAAACAAACAAACCCCACAAAACCCCCCATCACTGTACAGTGAAAGGAGTCAGTAGCAGTCAACTTCTTCGCTTGAAAGTGCTTTCTGAAAGTGTGTCCTGGTTTCAGCTGGGACAGAGTTAATTTTCTTTCTAGTAGCTAGTATAGTGTTAAGTTTTGGATTCACTATGAGAATAATGTGGATAACACACTGATGTTTTCAGTTGTTGCTAAGTAATGTTTATACTAAGTCAAGGATTTTTCCCCTTCTCATGCCCAGCCAGCAAGAAGGCTGGAGAGGCACAAGAAGTTGGGAGGGGACACAGCCAGGACAGCTGACCCAAAGTGGCCAAAGGAATATTCCATACCATATGATGTCATGCCCAGTATATAAAGTGGGGGGAATTGGCCTGGGGGGCAGATCACTGCTCAGGAATTAACTGGGCATTGGTCAGCAGGTGATGAACAACTGCATTGTGCATCACTTGTTTTGTATATTCCAATTGTTTTGTTATTATTATTGTCATTTTATTATTGTTATTATCATAATTATTTTCTTCCTTTTCGTTCTATTAAACTGTTCTTATCTCAACCCATGAGTTTTACTTTTTTTCCCTGATTCTCTCCCCCATCCCACTGGGGGGGGGAGGGTGGGTATTCAGTGAGCAGCTGTGTGGTACTTAGTTGCTGGCTGGGGTTAAACCACAACAAAGTGCAGCATGCTAATTTCAGGAGAGAGGAACCAAAATTTGTAGAGTTTTACAGATACCAGTAATCCAGATGACTCCAGCAATTATCTGTACCTCAACAGAAGATGATCTGAACAACTGACCTTGAAAAGATGTGTTAACTGTGGTCTGGGTAAATAGTTCAAAAGAAAACAGTGCACAGTTCTAAGATACCTGTTTTCTTTTGCATGTGGACTCACAACTCTGAGGCCATCTGGGAGATTATGAGGCAGACAGGTGCTCCTAATGGGGGGGGGGGGGGTGGCAGCTTTTATTTGTGAGGGTGGGGCTTATTCCCAGGATCAATACATGGTCCTTCTACCCAAATCTCCAGATGGCAACCGATGGCACATTTGCATCATGTTTACACATTTTCAACAGAACACTTTGAATTGATTTGGTTGATGATCATGGCATCATGAGGAAATGGACTCAAAGGCAGGAAAAAAAAAAATGTGCTTTTAAGCCTTCAACTACATAGTATAAAGCTACGTACAAACTCTCTGCTCAAGTTGCTTACAGCTAATTTCACATGATGTTCAGTTCCCACCCACTCCTTTCTTTCCTGGTATGAAAACATGCTAAGCTAAAGAGATAGTAAGTGTAGTAAGTGTTCATTTAAGAGAGACCAGCATGTCAAAAGATCTAATTCCATGGCATCACTGACTTTCAGCAGCAAGAAATATTCTTATAGCTTAGACAGAATCTTAATTTTTTACATATTCTTAAACTAAATTATGATACATCCTTGGTCAGAGTTACTCTGCAGTCTTCTGCAATATACAAAAGCCACAGGAAAAATCCATGCTGTTAGCCACCTTTCAACATTCTTTGATTATATGCAATTCAAAGCCACGGCAGCCGTCTGTAATATCAAACATTCTTTTCCACTTGCCTCTTAGGAAGAGCCACAGAACAAGAAAGTTAAGCAGCTTTGCAAAATAATGCGTTTTCCTCTGCTCTAGCAAAACAGAGCAACCCCATCTCCTGGGATTTATCAGCATTTCAGTGAGCACTGTACAAGCAGGAAGGTAATTTCAGGCAAAACAGCATACTGCTCCATAACCCAACCAACACTGTTGTCATGGGAACTTTGAATAGCTTATTTCAGAATAAAACTCCAGATAAAATGAGCATAGAGTTCCCAAGATAGAGGAAAACAGCAATAAGCCTGTTTCAATTTGGGGCTGCTTTCATAGCAAACAGCATCTTAAGAGAGGTAACTGTGGTTTTGTGTGAACACACTGAGTTAAGCTATTAAACTAATTAGCATATATAAATATGATATAGACTGCCACATAATGAGCAGTGATAGTCAAATACCTCCCATGTCCTTATGCATCCTCCACTGAAGCCTCTGCCACCAAGCTAAAGCACTAAGGGCATCCAGGTTGACATATTTTTAAATTCTTATAGATCTAGAGCCTTGGCTACTTGGCAAAATGAGTCTGAATTTTACAAAGCAGCTTTGATAATTTCAAATGCAATCTCCATTTCAAACTGAAGACTCACATGACTTGTTGCTGAGCTGACTCTTCCACATACGGGGTGAAACTGGGCAGTGGGCAGGGCACTTCTATACCAGAATTTGCACTGCTGCGAGGACGCTGAGGAAGGAAAAGTCAACATTAACAGCTTAAAGATTCATTTTTAGACTCTACATTCCTCTATACTCTGAATCTCCCTTTTCCCAGTGTTTGGCTCATTTGTACTTCTTGTTATTTAAAAAAGTTAACCGTGATAGACTTTTCCAACATTAATTTACAAGATTAATTCCATTCTGATATATAAACAGTTACAGACCATCAGCTGAGCACTAGCACCTAAAAAAGCAAGACACATTCCTCCTGCGTGTCCTCATCAGTACCTAGTTTCTGTTATTCTGAAGGAATGCTGGTCAAGCTGGGTATTTGGTTGCTCCTCTTGTTTGTTTTCCAAAAATGCTACAGTCCTCATTGTTCAGCCAAGACTGTCCTAATTTTATGACAGTATTCCTTCTGCTGTCCATCAAGAACCTCCAGACTTCTCAATTTTCCTCTAAGAGGCCATTCCAACACCACAAAAATCCCTTAACTGCTTCTGGGGTCCATTATTTAACAGAAGATAGATGGAATTTAGCCTGACAACATGCTACTCATCTGCCTACTTGAAATTCCCCTAGACTCTTAAACAGAAAAAGTTACATGGTGGAGATACTTCACAAACTGACTTCTCTTTTCTACCATTTTTCAAACTGTTTACTTGGCCATCTTCGCACTGGCCGTAAAAGAGAAGCCCCTTTCCTCTGCAGCTTTTAATATCTCAAAGCGTTCACAAAAGGTTATTCTTTCACTTTAATACAAGCCAGAATGAGCACCACACTCCAGTGAAGGGGAATTAAACACCCTCAACTCTTTTGTTAGTTGCAGCTTTTATTTTCTTTTTAAATTAAATCTAACAAATTTCATGAAAGTGGGAACAGATAACTCTAAGGACAAATATTAAAAGAATACAGAAGCATTTGGGGACCAGAATGACTGTGTTAAGCAGCCCAAAGCAAGGCAACGATAAAAGAAGTTTTACATTAATAATTCCTCCTCATTTTTCTCAGCTAAATTAAACCTGTGATTTACTGAACTTTTCCATTCACTTAATCAAATTGCTTTGTATCTGACAGTAATTCTTTCTGGAGTTTCCACCAATTTCAGCCCATTTGTTTCCTCCCCTCATACTAGTTTTTGTTTCTAAGCTTCGCTTATAACAATTTCTGTATTGAGAAGTCTAAAATATTTTTATCATCTTATTACCTTCTATTCTTCCTGTCTAATCTACAAAGAACAGGGGAACTCTGGGAGTTATCTAAGGACCTATGAAACAAACTTGATTTCATAGGATTAATTTCCTTCAGATAATGTCTTGGATCATTTCTCTAGAACAGATTAAACACCTGTAGCACAGCTGCTTCTTTTCATGTCTCCAGCATTAGTTTAAACTATTGGAACCTACTTTCTGTCACCCTTTTTTCATCTACTGGCAAGCTTCCCTATATTGTCAGGATAAATATTCCATTGATCCTGTAGTTCTTCAGCTCTTTTGATCTCCACTCTTCTGTTTTCCTTACAAGCACTTCAAAACAGACTTGCAGAATGCTGTACATACCTTATTTTCATAAGAAAATAGGCAACAAGTTCTTCCTTTAGGTTGTATTGTATGATTGTATGAGCAATTTAACTCTTGCTCTTCTTTCTTACAGAATTAACTAATGCCTGGTTTCTCTCACTTTCTTTGGCTAGGGTTTTCCCTCTTCTCTTCCTTTTTTGCCCTCCAAACAGTTTGGCAGGCTATCATTACCAATTTTTCTGATTAGCAAGAATTATAACTTCTTGATTTAAGAACTCTAGAGAGCTTTATAAACTTATTCTAGCAAGATCAGCTTGCTAAACTTGAATAGGTTATGCATAGCCAGAGACTCTTCAGAAAGAAGCTAGGAAGATCTTTAGTTACAAATAGACACAAACCCCAGGCAAGGGAGAAAGAACATGACCTTTGTCTCAGGGATCAGAAGGAGTCATCAGCTTAAACACATCCTCCTCTTTTTTGCCAGTCCATTTTGAGACTCCTTACCCTGCCAGAGTTCCAAGGTCCTGCGCTTTGTTCATTCTCCTTGGCCCGCGGAGCTGGAGGTGCTGTCCATGGCTGTGGTGTAAGTACAGGAATCTCAGGTCCAGAAGCTGAATTTTCATCAAACACGGCAAAACCTGGAGTATTTGAAAACTGCTGAGAAGTTACAGTCTGGAAGCTTCTGGTTTGGTTCGTGGCTATAAGCAAAAAGATTTATGCAAATTAACCTTTAAATATCACACTCAAGTGAAAATTCCAAAGGTGTAACTCTTCCAATAATATGTGGTTTCAGCAGCTGAATGTACCTTTAAGTGCATCTCCTACACGACTAATTGGCGCTCTCACTTTTTTCTTCCCCCTGCCTTTTAGATCTGCCAATGAGCTTCTCTGAGGTTCTGCAGTTCCCAGAAGACCCATATCTTTTTCATCAGCAGTTTCCTCAAGCCCCAGTAGCGTCTGCCGAGAAACACGGGCCTGAAATTGCCTTAGAAAAACGTTGGAGAAGTCAGCATAAACTTCACTATAGCAGGTATCCACTGAAGCACATAAGACTAAGTTCTTACCTTTAGCTGGAAGCTTACCTGTGATGGGACAGGAGTTTGTCCAAAGGCTCAGCCTTGCGCTGAAGACCTTCCTGGAATATCAGATCTGCTTTCTTAAAACTTCCTCTAGCCTCAAGTACTTCTGCCCATGTGATGTAGAATAGTGCCAGTGTTGTGCCAATTTCCTGGCTATGTAAGTAACTGTACAGATCCAAGGGCTCATTACAACAATCTCCCTGAAACAACCAAAGTATTTGAGTAATCACATTGGACTACAAAGGATTCCAAAGTCAATGTCTGCCCTTTGATGCCTCCTGCAAGACCCCATTGATTTCAATACAAGTCTTGCAGGAGCAGCTGTAAGGCCAGGACATAAAATTGTATCGTGTCATGGCGCACAGGGTAAAGGAAAGGAATTCAATAGGGGAAGAATAACAATAAAAGCCTCTAACTGCATATATATATTTTTCAATATTATTACCAATCCCTTAATTCTAGCCCACGTATTTAAAGTCAGTCATTTCTTAGATTTTTTTTTTTTTTTAATCTAAGATAATTCAATGATTGAACTATGTCATACTGGAAATCCTGAGAATAGTTATTTTAGCTTTAGATAAAGTACAATGCATTTCTTATCACTTTTAGAACTGGTAAATCAGCTCAGGGAGCTAAAACTGGAGAAAAGCTACTTTACAAAGACAAGAACGACAAAAACTATAGCAATGGAGAGACAGGGCAAGACCAGAACACACTCAGCTTGGTATTGCTTAAACACAGGATGTGGATACAAGGCAGTTAGAAGTTAAAATAACTGGTAGGGCAGATATAACACCTAAAATGTATCTTTAAATCACTTTCTTTCCTCCTTAAATAAATAATCAAGCTCTACTCATCATTCAAACTAGCTTTTCTGAAACAAAACTTCGGGAGTTTGTAGCTGTCCAAACTGAATAATACTAAAAAAGGTCTAAGATCCTATTGAAAATGAGAAGTGGAATTCAAGAGTAGGTAACATGTCTGCAGAGAGATACTTCTAATATTGCACTAGTTGTACAACATATTCTTTGACTCTGTTGTTACAAAAATCAGCTTAACTGTGTGCAAATGACATGACAAGTACCAAGAAAAGGCAGCACCCAAGATGTATTCACAAAACACTCACAAACTTGAGCCAGAGATTAAGATAGCGGGGATCTTTGTAGTATCGCTGCTGTTCATTGAGTGCTTTCACTGCCCTTTCCAATATTGCGGCGAGATTACTCTCCTTTCCACCTTGAGGGAACGTTTGCTCTGTCCACTTGATGTACCTAGAGATGGAATATATTCATAGGAAGTCAGTTCGGAGTAAGATACAAGGCTTCTGTTTCTGTACAATGTAAGATTTAGAAAAAAAATTAGGCATGGTATTGAAAAACAACATATTAGTCAAAAAAACTGTTACAGAATTTACCTTTTAATGAGTTTCTTATTAAATTAGAATATCTTTTTTCCAAAGCTTTAACAAGGACATCTGACCTTTCTATTCTTTCTTCTGAAATAAAAGGAAACATACCGGTCCCAGACATCCAGTGGATCATCTCCAGAGTAAAATCGGATTTCTGATTCAAACTCCCTAAAAAAAATTATTCATCCAATAAATGCATGTGTATAACTGTGTATAATCTATTCCCCAATGTTTGCTGTTTAAATGCTCCATTGCAAACCTAAAAATAGCAGTCGATACTGTACAGCACCCATAGCAAGTAGTCCTAAATACCTGGAGTGTGATAGCAGCATAGAAAGCAGTTACTGAACTCCTGTTCTTTTATGCTTTTTTTAATACCTATGAGGTTAGTACAGTTAAATAAGACATAGAAAAAAAATGATGAAGAGGCAGAAAGATAAAGGGAAAGAAGATGTCAAAACATTGCTCACTGTCTTTTCAGCTGAACAGCAGTGTGGGTGGAGGTCTCCTGCTGAGCCAGGGCTTCCTGTAAGGTGGACATAACACGCCCCTGCCGGAGGGGCTGCACATTCTCTTTGCTCAGCTCCCACTCATCGTTGCAGTCCTGTGACATGACAGCCTCTCCTTTAGATTCTGCGTTAATAATAAAAACAATAAGGAATTGATTTATTAGGTAGGATACTGACCTGAAACATGACAGACCTGGCTTTCTTTAGCCGCTCCACCACACACTTTCTGTGTGGCCACAAGCACACCGTTTAGGTCCCCCACTTTTAGAGAGAACTGAGCATTTAATTCCCCTCCGTGGAAATTATATGAAACAAGAGCTTAGCACTTCTTTACAATAAAGAATCTCAGGAAGATGTTAGCAGGAGAGGCTACTAAGGTTAAGCTCTTTCCCTCCCCATCTGCGTGCTCCCTTCCTTCCCGCGAGATGATCACCTTCTCCGAGGCTGGCGACCGGCGACCTCCGGCCGAGGGCACCCTCGGCAGCGCCGTAAACCGAGTCAGGTCCCTCTGGCTTTTCGCCTACGAGCAGTTGTAGCGGGCTTGCGGTAAAGGCGAGTCCCGACCCCTGCCTCCCTGCTGGGAGGGGACGAGCAGCGCGGCGGAGACTCTCCCCCCACCGCGCAGCAAGCGAGCAGGCTCCCCGCTAGCGCTGAGCGAGAGGAGAAGCCGTTTAGCCACGCAGTTCCAGAATGGCTGTTCGTCCCCGGGACGCCCCCGCCCCTCTTCCCTCACGCCGGGGTGCAGAGCCCCGCGCTCCCCTGGCAGCGACCGGAGGGAAGAGGAAGGCGTCCCTCAGCCCGCGCCGCCCGCCAAAACCCACAGCCACACGCACCAAGCGCAGGGGTCCCAGGTCCGCGGCGAGCGCGCGAGCCCCGCGCCCTAACGGCAGGCCTGCCTCAGCCCCCTTCCAAATTCAAACTCCAACCGCCGCCAGCCTCCTCCCCATTGGCCACCCCTTCACCACGCCCTGCCTGATTGGTTCCGCCCCGAGCCCGCCCTGCCGCGCCGGTGCATCATGGGAATTATAGTTTCCCTCAGGCGGCTCGCGCCGCGTGCTGCCGGCAGGGAGAAATACATAATTAATTTTAGAATTAATGACCGTATAATTAATCTCATATAAAAGGCATCTGTCACCACAAGGAACGTTCCTGCGTCCTCATTTTCCTGCTCGCATGTGTTCCCATCGTTTCTCTTCCTCAGTGCTGGTGCTCGTCTGACCTGACGGTGGCTCTGCTAACGGACAGAAATCTGATTTCACCAGGTTATTTCTCTGCCAGAAAATAATTCTGTTATTTTCTCTGAGGGGAGCGCGCCTTTCGGCATGCAACTAGCCATTCGCTCAGCCTTGTTATCCCAGAAAAAACTCACTTTCCAGGTATCCCTGTCAAATACAATGCAGCGTTTGTGACCCCCAGACTGGCTCCAAGTAACCTCTTTGGTCCGAACAAAAGAGTGTGCAGAGGTACTAGCTCAGCCCCCCGAGGCAGCATTGCTGTGTTAATGTGATGCTCAGCCCGGTTAATTGCCTTGTCTCCTACAGCATTGCAAGAGGGAACTAATTAGCCCAACAGGCTGCAGAAATATTGCTACACTGCTTCCAGTGCCAGAGCGAGATCGTGCAGTGAGAGACCAAATTCTCCTGGTCTGCCCTTATTTACATGGTATAGGCATGTCCTCAGAGTTAGCAACCTAATAAGGTGGCTGAAATGCTTTACAGCTCCCCACACTAGTTTCACATTGTTCTTCAGCACTGGCTTCTGTTCCTGCAGGCTAACTGAAATGAGTTAGGACTGGTTGTTTACCTCTCTTTAAGTCAAAGTTAAGATCTAAATAAAATCCAGTATCTTCAGGGTCTTAAATGTACAGATGTCTTGCTCCCTTCTGCATTCTATATCTGCAAAAACTGAAATATGAGGCAGCTGAAAAAAAAATTGCCATAGACATGGACAGAAATTTCCTGAGTAATACAGATTAGCTGCCTGGTATTATGGGAAAGGTGATCAACTTAAAAAAAAAAATTATCTTAGAACAAATTGAGTATTTCATGAGTAAAAAGTGATTTTTTTCTTCACAACTGATCTTAATGGCTCAGTCTCTGAAGGCATTTGTGATGCCTGTGAGTTATGAAACTTTCATACTCACAGATGAAATTTAATAATCACCCTTCACTGTTTAGATATTCTATAGCATTCACATGGTATCAATAAAAGGCATCAGTCATCTTGTGAGTGCAAGTACACAAAGCAAACACAAAAGAAAATCACAGCCTGATATTTGGGTTGCTGGGGGGGGGGGTGAGAAAAGGTGCCTATATTAAAGGCAAACTGTGATCATGTCGTTAATGGACGATTGCTTCTTCTTGTGAAATCTTGAATGCAAGTCAGTGAGTTTATGTGACTTTCTGATTTTATAATGTAAAATTTGACTGTGTTGAGCCACAAACAGGGGAAAGAGGCATTGGGAGGAGGCTTTAGGAGGAAAACTTCTTGCACATATGGAAAGAACAGGCAATTTCGATTGAGGAATGCAGATTTTCCACCCCACCAAATCTTTATGCTTGTTGTCACTCTGCTTCAGCCGCTGCCTTTGCTGCTGTAAACACCACCATCTTTTGGATCGTTCCCTCTTTTAGGAGCAAAAGATGGGATTGCACTCTCTGAAATACAGTTTGTATCTAAGTATTACTACTACGTCATTGCTCTCCACAGGTCTTTTCTGCAGCCTCACTTTTTATTATAGTTCCAGTTCTGTTCCTTTGAATCTATTTTGTGGACTGCTTTGTTTTCATTGATTGGATAAAATATGTATTTATAAAAAGAAAAGGCCCTAATTTGCTTAAAATCCATGTGATGGAGTTGATCCCATTTCTTTAAGTTTCCATTTATAGGTCTGCTGGGGTCAGTTTTACTTTTATGAGGACTTAGTAACCAAGTAATGAAAAAATAAATTGTACAAACAAGAATAAAATTGAATTAACTTTTTTTAAAAGAAAAAGAATCCCTTTTGGAGCTAAAAGCACTGTATATCCAAGGCAAATCAGATTAAAACAGGTCTTCTACAGTTGACTATCATTTGGAAGGTTTTTTTTGTTTAGATCAAGAATAATTTTCTCTGGATTATGTGATTGAAGAGGTCAGGGTTCATTATTGATTCAGATAAATACTAGGTAGTTCTGCTATCCTACATACAGAGAGAATAGGTCTCCAGTTACCTTCCATCCCTTCAAAATTAAACTGAGAAGTGTCCTCTGCACTCTAATTAGCCGTGTAGCAAAGACATTTTTCTCTTGGAGGCAAAAAATGCCAAAGGATGTACTTGCTGCCAGCTATGCCGGTGAAGGCTTGATGAAATCTGTGAGGTTATTCACTTCTAAATGGGGACAGAGTTTGGGCTAGCAGAAATGGATTTTCAGACACCTGGGAATTTTTTGGTTTCTTTCTGTTACTTCCTGAAGGTAAAATGTCTGTATTTGGCTTGATTTTTCAAATTCCCTGCTTGGGTCTGCTGATTTCAATTCAGCTTTACAGTTTTCCCTGGCAGCCAAGAAGGGACGTTGCTTCTTATCTCTGCAGAGGTCAAGAATGAAAATGAAATGGCCACTTCTGAGTTTTGTCTTACTCCAGTGAGATAAAATAATCAGTAGAGAAAGGCAGTCATCTGCAAAACTCAAGACCAGATTTGGCTTTTTATAGATCTGCATCACAGATATTAAACCAAGATTATTCTAAGCTGGTACAGGAATAAAAATCAGAGCTTGATTGTGGATGGGGTGAAAGAGATTTCTTAAATCTACCTGTAGAGTTAAAACTTTCAAAAACATTTGAATGTCTTTGGAGTTTAAGGATGAGCTTTTAAAGGTACTTAGATGCTCATTTGCCATCAAAAAACACTTCAGTTTAAGCACTTACATGCTTTTCAGTCCTGCACAGAAAAGGGTCCATTTAGAAACCAGTGCATGACACTTTATGCCTGTCTCAGGAAAGTCATAGTGCTCTTCATAATATTTATATCTGAACCTATGATATTTATTTAAAAGCTTATTGAAACATTTTTTGTTACTTTGCTTTATCAAACGTCTTCTGACTGATCCAAACAATTTTATAAAAACATTTCTATCACTTAGTATATTTTTCTTTCTCATACAAATGTTTATAAATGAACATGATTGTTGTACAATAATGCAAAAAGTTAGTCAACCTTTCCAGCCTAAACAGACAAACAAATCCAACCAGATTTAGTGTAATCTCAGGTGGACTTGAACTTAAAAGATTACATTTTCTTCTTGTTCCTTTCACATTTTTCTTCATTTCCTTTCAAAAAATAATGTGAGATTGAAAGGGGAAAAAGGCTCTTCCTCTTTAAAATCAGTAATTTTCTTTGTTGTATATTATTTCCATTAAAAAAAACCCAAACAAATCAGAAATAGCCATAACATCTTAGAAGTAAGATAAAAATGAAAAGGGTTTTTTGCCTTTTTTCACAGTCATTACTATTTTTTCATCCAGTTCAAATGATTTGCTTAAACCAAAATACTGTCAGGACAGGCCCAAGACAGGAGACAAGAACCTGAACACTTTCTCTTGGTCGCTACTGCCCATCCAGGTGCACGCAAAGGAAGACAGCCCCCAGCCTCCCACTGTCCCGCTCTCTCAGCACCATCCTAGCTCTGCCAGTCCTGGCTTCAAAAATGGCATAAAGAGGACCAGCAGCCACACTTCCCTCTCCCTGCCATGCCCAGTGAGAACTTCTGATATGGCAAATCGATGAAGTCATGGCACTGGTAGCATCTCAACACCCTCATTCCAGGGCTGCAGCCAGTCCTGTAATTCATACGCTCACTGTACAAATCATAATTATGTCCTGCAGATGCATGCTGTCTTTGTGTGGGGCTGTTATCCCAAGAGAGGAAAGGTCAGTGAAACCTTCCCGCTGGCAGGATACCCCAATTCACCACAAGGCTCTGAAGGAAGGGTCAAGTGCTGAAAGGAGTTGGCAGAAGCACCTTCACTTTCTGCTTTCTCGTTCAAGCTGTGTAGAATAAAAGACAGATGCCTTTGCTGTCCATGTGATGGCACTATTTGAACACACTTTTGCCCTTCTGAGTGCTGCGGTTTAACTTTTGTCTTAACAAGCACAAACTTCTGGGTATTTCCAGTACGAATTTTGCAGGATAAAAGAACAAGAACATAAAAGCTTGCAGGGGGACAGACTGAGCAGCTGGGGCTGCAGAGGAACGAACTGCCAACAGGTAGCCTGGCAGGTGGGTGGCACACTGACGAGATTTCAATTGCACACCAGTGGAGGGAAGCCAGAGCACCAACAGCCAAGGAATGCAAACGGAGGGTGCCTGGATTCAAACAGCATGCCAACACAAAAGGCCAAAAGCATGAGAAGCATACCAATGAGGGGAAGGTAAAGCACCAACAGATGAGTACAGATTGCAAATCGAGGGAGCTCATAAATCAGTGTGCCAATGCATGTGCCCAGAAGCCCAGACAATACAGCAGCAGACGGAAGACAGTCTGACAATAGTGTGCCAACGAGCAGCAATAGACCGCATAAGCACAGCAATGAGGGAAATGGAGGAGCTACACTGTGTCAGCCCACATGAACTGCCTTCTGCTGGAAACCATTCAGTTCAGTCATTGGTCACAGGTATCAAGAAAGTGTCTTCTGGATAAGCAGAAAAGGATTTTTCCTTTCTCTGGGTGTGTAGAAAGAAGATTTAGAGAAGGATAGTCCACAGAAAAACAGTCTCCAAATGTAAAAGTGAGAGGAAGTTGTGCCTCAAATAATTACGAGGCTAGCAAAATGCTGCAGGAAATGAGGAGGTATTTCTGCTCTAGCACACTAGACACTAGGGACAGCTGGTCTAAGGAGAGTTGTGTGTGCGTATGTCTATGTCCCTTCATCACTGGGGTGGTATCATCTTTGGCAACAGCTGATGGGGCCAAACTCACTGTGCTGCTATAGATACCAGACCAGCACTACCTGACTGCACGTATCCAGCTGCACCAGGACTGATGTGAGCCTATCCCCCTGTCCCTTGCTTTCAGTAAACAGGTCTGTCTGTGTCAGCATTTCTCTCAGAAATGTTCTTCCTGGTTCGTTAAAGGCATACAGGATCTGACAATCAGCAGTTCTCCTTCCCAATGCCAGTCAGTCACTTTTCAGGTCATTACACTTTAAAATAATTCAAAGCTCCTTATTAATGCATTGGGGTTGGAATGGCCAATTGCAACCCATGAACATAGCTGTGGATAACAATAACTGGGTTCTGATAAGCACTGGTCTCAATTGCAGAAAACTGGGGCAGGGGGGCTGGTGAACATCAGATTGCTTTTATCTGCACTTTGCTCCTTCTCTTAAACTTCCTCTGTCCTTTCCAGTCTCTTCCCATACCCACATGGGTTAGAAAGCACGGTGCTGTGTGTGTTCCCTTTCCTCATCTGATGGGGAGCACTCACTGCTGCATTAGTGCCACATCTGCTGCTTAGTTCAGCTTTCTGCTTTGCTTCCACAGAGTTCATCCCTTGTTCTATGTAAGTTCTATGGGTTATGTCAGCCACTGACCTGAGGCACAATCCTGCATTGCCAAAATGATCCATAATCAGCTGGGCACTTAGCACCACTGAAACATCATAAATGCTGATTCTTGGTGCACAGCAAGCTGGTGGCACATTTTCAGACCTTTAGCCAGAAGTGGAAAAAGAGGTCAGAGTAGAAACACTCCAGCTTTGCCCACCCATCAGGAATCCTCCTATGAGTAGCATCAGCTTGGAGGGCAGGCTGGGCTCTACCCTCACCCCTGCTGGTGGCTGAAGGTGTTGGGCTAGCAATTAGCAACTACTGGAGAGTTCTCACAGCCCCATGGGAAATGTTTGCTGGAGATAATGCTACTGGAGGAACCATGCTTACATGGCAAACACAGGGCACACTCCCCACCCTCTGTTATCAGACAAACCGTACTTGTAATTTCTGGGCAAATAGCTTTATTGCAGTAAGGAGGAAAGCTTTCCACATCTCAATCTCCACCTTCAGCAAAAGTGCAGCTCCTGAAGTCCACACAGCAAGGGCAGCACTCCTCAGAGAAAGGAGAGCAGAACTGAGCATTAGCAACACTGGGACAGGGAGATGTACGGAAATAAGGTAGGGATCAAGAAGATAGAAGCCTCCTTGGAAATAATTTGTGCTTTGATGCACATGTGGATCCCAACAGCCATATTTTGGTTTCTCTCTCAAGGGTTTATTTGGAGTAATGGCAGCAATGTGGAGATTGGCTTGTAGGGAAAAGGCAGGGTTATTTATTGGTTTCACTTCTCTATCATGAGACTTGTTGCAATCCTGTGCTGTTGTGCTAAGCTGAGAAAGTGAGATAAACATTAATGACCCAAGCTCCTTCTGCTGCATCCCTGCCTTGGACACTCCCGAGCTTTTTACTGGAAGCAACTGGGGCAACAGTCCATGTCTGCGCTGTAGCTAGCCCCAAGATGAGAAAACCAGGAGCAGCACAAATTTTGTGTGCAAATGCACAAGCCATATTCTCAGACAGTGGAAATCAGCCCAGCTTTTGGTTGCTAGGTGGGGGAAGAGGTTGGTTGATGGGAGGTGTAAATCTAGACCAGAGCATCAAACACTTTACTCCTCATGCTGCCTGGAAATGGTGTGCTCACTTTGCTGAACTGGGGTTTTACGGCAGAACCAAAATTGAAGACAATATTGCTGAAAGATGAGGGAGGATTGAGGGAGGAGGGGTCCAACATTCTATGGTGCTGTCACCCCATGAAGTAAATCCAGAGGTCAGCAGGCTTTCCAGCTCAAGCCTGAACTCATAAGCCAAGCACAGCAGAGCTGACTTGCTCTCAGTGAACCACCTCTGCTCTCAGGCTGCATCTTGGCTCTAGGTGAAGCTTAAAAGATGGTATTTTACCAGCAAAAGAGCCTGCCGGGGTCCTCATGAATGGAGAAAGGTGGTATACAAAGGGGTTGGCATCTGAGACAAGAGGAGCAGAAAAATGACGGTGTCATCTGGCACTTGGAGGCAGTACTGACTGCCACCTTCAGCAGCAATGATAAAAGGGACACCTTGAGCCTTATTGGACAAGGGAAATAATGGGAAAGAACGTGCTGACCCCACATCCAATACTTCTAGAATGACACCCATTGCTGCCAAAAACCCAGAGAGATGGAAATACCCCTGGCATTTTGTAGGCACGTCCCGGCAGGAGCTCTTCTTTTCCCTGTCAGATAGGAGACAGACAGCCAAAGAAGTACTGCACGATTAGTGGTTTTATGACATAGAAAAATTGAGGACAAAGTCCTTCAGTAAAGAACATGTGATCAGTCCTTGCTTACCAGTGATAGAGGAAACAGCAGCTCCTGAGCATGTAAACACCCGGCTGCTGGCAGGACGAGGACCATGGTGGCACATGCCAGCTGCTTGTGCTGGGAGCACAGAGTCTGGCACAGCAGAGAGTAGAGCCAAGCCCTGAAGTGAGCTCCTGGATACAGTCATATGAGCAACTGCAGGGCCAGGGTGACTTGCGCTGGCTTACACCCTGCAGCTGGTATCAAACTGTAACACCCTAAAGGGAACAGCCAAGCAGTCAGTGCTGAGTTATTTACCCACCAAGGGGAGATGAACACTGTGTTGTGTAACTAAATTGCTACCGCGAGCTGGGCTAACTGCTTCAAAGTCAGTTCAGCTACATCTCAGCTCTACCTGGAGCCAGTTTGGGAAATGTGATGTAAGGGGCCCCAGGGGGAACAGGCAGGAAGGTGGAGAGATGAGGTATGTGTTTCCCGCCCCCCCAAATCCTAAGTGGTATTTCAAGGTCTCACTAAAATGTTGAATTAGCTGTAATCTCTTCCAGATATAATTGCTGCATTCAGACAAGCAGAACAGGCAACCTTGTCCTCCTGCATTCCAGTTTCCCCCCTGAGCAGAAAGATGGGCTTCATGTCAGCAAAGCAGCTGACACTCCCCCATTTTGGGGGAGGGGAGTGCAGATCTATTTCCATTATATGTCACTGTCATCTTCTGTCACTGCATCTGTGCGAGATGTGTTGGCTATCACTTCTGCAGCTGGGAGTGATGAGCTCTCTGAGGCAAAGGACACTCCCAGACCTCTGTGGTGATAGTCCTTGTCATAATCTTCTTCCTCCTCCTCCTCATTGTTCTGCAGATCTTGGTCACTGTCATCATCACCATCTGCTGCATTGTCCTCAATCACTGCAACCCTCTCTCCAGCATCTGGATCCACATCAGTCTTAAACCACACAGCTTTGTAACCATCATCTGCCACATGCCTGTCTGTCTTGAGGATAGATTTCACTTCTTTCTCATGCTCAGTCTCTTCTTCCACTTCTTCCTCTTTCTCTTCCTGGTCAAAGATGATGGTGGAAGTTATAGAAGCCTTTGGGAGGCTATCAATTTCTTTTGCTTTTGAAGAGGGCAAGGGAAGTGCTGGCTGCTCTAGCACATGTGTCGTTGACTGGACACTGCCATTTTCTGAAGTCTCATCCTGTTTGGTGCTCACATCTGGGTGTTCATCTGGCTTGTAAGATTCGTTGTGGTAACCCCCAGAGATTTCCCTGGAGAACTACAGGAGAGACACCTTGTGATTGTAGTGAAAGGGAAAGAAACGGGGCGGGGGGAGGGGAGGCGCAGGAAGAGGCAGCTGAAGCAACGGAGCTGCTGCTCAGGAAAGCTTCAGCTTGTTTTGCAGTTAGACCTATTTGAAGCCTGGGAAAGATACAGCTCCCTAGAACAGCTATTTTTATTGACTCCCTTTCTGGATTTTTTTCAGATAAGCATGGGCATGTTTTCCAGGAGGGCTGAGCACCAGCAATGTATACTGATTTGTACCCATCCATTTGAGGTATTACTCTGGAATGGGATTTACCTCACTCAGGGTGAAGGACTGTTGTTACTCACTTGAGCTATGTGCTCTGGACTGATGTTGTAGTCAGTGGAGTCAAGGCTCCTGACGGTCCCATCCTAAGGCAGAGACCAACATCTGGTCAGATGAATTACACCCTAAACTTCAAAGTAAGCAGCCTGCCAGGGACTTGAGAGAGCCAAAAGTAAATAGCTCAGGTGCAGACAACTGTCTAAGCCCAGGCTTTAGGATAGGATATGAAGGGGGCTTTCTCTCCTTTGACTATAGGAGGAGGATGAACAGTGGTTTATGCCACAGATACATGTTTTTCAGAGACTACCTCTGGTATGTGTCACGTTCATCCTAGATTTTGTGCTCCATGGAGCTGTGGTTGTCTCCTTACCATGTCTGCTTGTCATCTACCATACAGCTCCAGCCTCAGGGGGCAGAAAAGAACAGCAGCAAACACCACCAAAGCAATGCTACTTTTGCAAACATGGTCTCAGGAGTGATTTATCACCCTCACACAAACTTGTGTAGTATCTGGACAGCCTGTCCACACTTTAAAACCTCCTCAGATCCCACTTTCTAACTCTAAGAAATTCAGGTACAAACAAGGCACTTACTTACCTTTTTCCTCATCATGTATTTGACTCGTTTTCCATACTGTTTATGTATCATCACTCCAAGGAAGACTAAGGCAATTAATAGCAGTGCTGCTAATGTACCACCTAAGATAGCCATATCCTGAGCACTGTGTATCTTATCAGAGGAGGTTACAGCTACAAGAAAAACAAACCAGTGTTACAAAGACTAAAAATGGCAGCTAGCTTTTTTAACACAACACTTCATTGTGGAAGAAGCTCCAACCAATTTTTGAAGGGCAAAGAAGCATCCTGTGCTGCAGAATGTGACATTGATATATTTAATGTCACAGAAGGCCATTTGTTTGCTGTCCTAAAAGCAGAGTTGTTTTTTTTTAAGGTGACCACTCACAGAATATTATAACTTCCAGTAAGTTACATGAAGTGGAAATAGCATCCATTTACAGGACAATGACTTTTATCCCATGATTTAACTAAGCTAATATATACATGACTCTATTAGGCAAGCAGGTGTTACATGGGGTAAAGCAAGGTAGGTCTTTTACTTTCCCACTTCACCCATTTACACCAGAATGCAAAAAATGAGGTATGTTTGTACATATGTGTGTGAAAATTCAAAGGTTCCTTTAATCTGGATCATCACCTCTGATACTGATGAGCACATTAAAATAAGAAATAAAAAAGCATAATAGGAAATAGAAAAAACTTTAGAAGGTCCCCAGGACAGGAAACTCTTTCCTTTTGTAGCTGTAGTAATATACACCAGCCTTCTCAGGAGCAGTTTATGCTTTCAACCACTGGTCAGTGTAAGCATATTTGTATAGAAATCAACATTATAGTGGAAAGACAGTAACTTCCTCAGGGTTAATCAGCTTTGCTTGTTGTTGTTGTTGGGATTCTTTATATTTAAGTTTTCCAGCTTTATTCTGTAGTGTAAATTAGTCTCTTTGAAGTTTAATGATTAATGAAATACAGTTTTGTTCTCCTGCTGACCTGTTTATGAGAACGGACTTTAAGTATTCCCTCCACATTTGATTGTGCCCTCAGTTTATCATTAATACATTGGTGAGTGTTTAGGGTGTCAGTGAATTTTTGCTTCTTTTAACCATGTCTTTTAGGGAGCCACAGGCCACAGAGCTGATGTGAAACTCACCACCCTTAACTCCTGTGCTGTGCAGCATGCAGTGCCTCTGCAAAAGCTAGCTCAGCTTGGTGGAATGACTCACCTTGAGATCCACATGAGATGGCTCTGGCACTGGTGTCTCAGAAACCAGAGGCCAATGTACAATTACAACTTCCCAGGAGAGTGTATTAAAAATTACTCTAGTTTCTCCCTGGATATTGGAACGCTCAGTAAAGCACTTTCCAACCCGTTGCATGCACATTCCTTAACACCACCTCTTAAAGTTGAGGGTTAAATATCCTACAGATTTGCCAGGCAAATGGTAATCTCACCTCTGATTAGGCCATTCCTGGGTGCTGGCTATAGTATAGAATAATGCACAATTCCCCTCATAGGCTCTGAGACATTCAGTGTAATTTCAATCTACTTTTTTGCATAGTCACCAGCAACATTATTTTGTGTGGTTTAAATACCAAGGGCAATATTTAAAAGTTGCATAGAAGTGTTGGTACATCTGTTTGGAGTGTTTGCAGCTCTGTGTACTGACACCTGAACTAGCTTTCTGCTGAGCTGGACTGTGCCCTTAAATTGGGTTTAGGTGGGTTTTATGCAGCCAATGTTTTTAGCTGTGAAGTGACACTACCTTTAGGGAATCCAAATTTACATCCAAGAGTCCACTTTTTTTTCCTCCAGACATCCCCATGATGGTGGTGATAAGAGGGTGAAATAATGGAAGAGCCCAGCTGGGAACTTCAAGCACACATCATGATGTAGAAACCAATGGATTCTGGGCGTTATCTGCCTATCCTGATGTGAAAATGCATGATATTGGTTCATCTTAATCCAAAGCCACATAAGCTTCAAATCTAACTAATTTTATAAGACCTATTTAAGAGCCATTTCTAAGAAGTATGGAAGTGTAAGCTATTTTTACATCAACAAAGCCAAATGATAACTGGAGGGTTATATATGTAGCCTCATGTCTATCTTATTTCTCATGGGTCTTTTCTCCTGGTAAGACCTTAATATCTTGGAGTATAAGAACTTGACCCAACCTGAGTAGAAAATTCCTTGGCTCATGAGGAAGCCTGGTTTTGTGGAGGTGTGCCAACTTCTGTCTGCTCTGCATAAGGCAGGAAATAATGTTGCAGTTTTCTCTATTTTTGGCTAAAAAGGAGCAATGATGTACGGAGGTGTCAGGGCAACCCTGCTTTGCCATGGTGAGACATCCTGGGTTATATCTGACCCACAAAACAGGAAGAAACCCCAGATTTAGCTTTGGAATAACGAGAAAAGACACTATAATACACAGCACTACTTAAAGTCTCAGGAGGCTGTTTGTGGCATGTGGTGACCACATCATAAGGATGTTGTTTGAGTGTTTTCTCCCTTATAGACACCATAGAACCTCCTATAGGTATGGTGTTGGCCTCAGCCAAGGTCCACAGACTTCAGTGGGTGACTCGTCATTGCCAGTTTGCCCACAGAAGTGCAAAAGTCTCCCCAGTCATCTCCACAAAGCAGAAAAAAGGCACCCAGCCTACCTGCAGCAAGGATGATGTCCACCACGATTACAGTGCTCGCCTCCTGCAGGCTCACCATATCTTTTCCAACAGCCTATGTGAACATGGGAAAGACATAGCTTAGGAACTTCCTAGATCTCCAGCTCACTCTCAAGGTATGTGGTGGGCCCTTTGTGGACAAAGTACCCTGTCCATATCCTCACCACATCCTCACAATAGCCCTGCATTGTAGCTGGACATTCTGATCACAGAGGAAGAGGAGCTCTGAAGATTCCCTGTCCTGGGCCAGAACCAGGTGCATCATTTGTGTACAGATCATTTTTGTGCATCTTTGCAGCACAGAGCTGTACACAGATAATGAGGTAGTGTGGGGCAGGAAGCGCAGTAGCATGTGTTGGCACCTCTCTGCCCTGCCTGGGTAGCTAAAACAATGCTGGAGTCAAGCTGGTTCAGATAGAGCCACAGGGCATGGCATTGTGCTAGGCAAATCTTAGGGAGCCGGTTGTTGCTGGCAGGAAGATGGACAAAGTGAACATCTAGCTTCTTAGAAAATCTAAAGTTATTAACTGCTTCCTTCAACCTGAGAAAAAAAATCTTGATTTACCAAAGGATTTCCAAGTTTGGGGCTGTAGCCTTGAGAGCTGGGGTATATGCCAGCAATCATACCCTACCCACACATACACATCAATGTCCTACCCACTCGCTCACCCTCCTTTTTTTTTAGTCAGAATCAGAATGTGGGAGAGGGCCTCCTAAAATCTCCCCAGTTGACTTTTTGCTTGTCTCCAATGATATTTTCCACAGGACTAGAGAAACAATTTTACAGCTGGCACCAGATATAGCCTGTATCGCACAGAGTAAATTTGCTATCACTTCTCCTTCCATCCCTATACATTTATGAAGCAAATGGTTGGGACGAGGACTGTCCTTTCACTATATCCCTTACCTAATGGAATTCCACCCTTGGTGCTTCTCTACTAGAGACTACCCCTTCCTTCCACGACCCTGGCAAGATAATGGAGAAAGTTGCCCTACCTCGATGGTTACAGTTCCTGGTGACTGCAGCATCACATTTGTCAGGATGAGTCCATCTTTGGTTGCGATGAAATCGGTGCTGTTTTTTATGTAGTACTCAATGTTTGGGTTGACTTTCTGAAAAGCCAGAAAAGTGAATGATTAAACCACACCATTTGTGCTTTGCATGCATCTTGATAACAACACATTGGCAGGACTTGTCAAATACATCTGAAGTATGAGCAGGTGTATAGTGCAATAAATAAATCTGGACTGAGGAGGTGAGAAAGGTTGAACTCAAGTGTGTTCACCCTGTTGCTCGGAGTTCAAGAAAGTATCCTAAAAGTGTTGCCTCCAAAAAAATCCCAAGTCTTACCCAGCTTGTGTTGGTATCTTTAGTATTTGCCCAAGCAAAACACATCTATGCAAGGGACCTTGTAAATTTGATCAGTTCTGCCTTTAATACAGTGCCAAAGGGGAATGTACATAGAGAATAATACTTGTGCTGAAGTCTGCACAATTTTTTCCTTTATGTCTAGGCTGTTATTCCTCTGCTAGGTCCCCAGTCTTGTTATGGAAGCCTTGGCATCAATAAAACTAGCACTTTTTTCTTAATAGGGTGGGATGGGAATCTCTGGTCAGTAAATCTCTTCCCCTTTCCTTCTTCCATTACATTGTTCAAGAATGGCTCTCTCAAAATGAGTCCTTACAGGGAGAAGGTTAAAAATTTCCAGCCCAGGACTGCAGGTCCTTGCTAGTCTGCTGTCTTTGGACTGGCTCCTCTTCCCAGGCCTGTCCACAAATAGCTCTCCTCGACCTGGCAGAGAAAGGACACCTCTGCCTGGGATCCTGCCACCCCAAGCTCTTCAAGGAAACTCTTCACCCAGCCCTAATTCAGATCAGGACCCATTCACAGTATTTGCTAACCCTGGGCTTTACTGAGGATGCTGTTTTGCAGTGGATCAGCTCATCTACATAGATCTGGGTGGGACCGGTTTTTGGAAGAGAGGAGTCCAGCAGCTTCTCTGCATTACATTACGCTATAAGCAGTTCTGATCTATGTGGAATTTCCAGGGAAATATAATATGGAACACTACAGGAAGACATGTTTGCCTCTCTCCACCTCCCTTTCCTCACGTTTTCTGATCCTGCTTTAAGCGTGAAGCAGTAAGAAAGAATGCAGTGCATTTGCAGTTTCTTACATTAGGGAAATCGTCATCCGCTGCTGTTATCATCAGGGGGCTTGAAGTATCACCAGTGTGGAAGACAAAGCTTCTCGGGGCCAGACCAACAAATACAGTCCCGTAGTACATCCTGCTCTCAAAGAACGGTGGATAAACACTTTTCTTGATGACCTTAATCTCTACACTGACTATGGAGTATTTCTGTATGTTGTTGACCTGGGTGGCCTGGAGAGAAAGAGAGAGAGAGAGGGAGAGAGTTGCTAGCCTTTTCCTATTAATGATGAGACATAAAAGGATAGGCTTGGTCTGAAGCCCACTGCAACCCATGGGGTTCTTTCCATCACTTTCAGTGAGCTTTGAGCCAGGCCTGTCACAGGGGGCCTTATGGTTTGGAGTCCTTGTGTTTTAGCTTGCTTCTGCTCTTGGCCCTCCGCACAGTCTTGGTCTAGTCCCAAAGTCTAGATATGAACCTCCATAAGGGCCACGTCTGGACAAAATGCCGTGCTCCAATACAAAGCAGTGAGATTCCAGCACCAGCAGGTAGAGTCTACTCATCTTTGTGGGTGTTTGGATCAGCTCAGTTACTGCCCGAGAGTCCCATCTTCCTGGCTATGTACATGCTGGGAGTGCTTTTCAACTCCTTCCTCTCCTCTTGAGCTGTAGCCAAAAGAAGAGCTCTTCTCTAGGGTTGATTGACTACTGTAACACAAGCTCCAGTCATGCCTAAAAAAAGCCTTCCGGTTATGCTCCTCCATACTTCCAACTCAGCAGGATGTCCCCATTCAGTTAATTTGCTTTGATGTTGCAACCCACAGATAAGGGAAAATGCCTCTTAACTTCTGCAAGAGCTTTGCATGTAAGTTTGTATAAGACACTAGTCAAATACTAGGCCCTTCCGAAAGAAAGGGTGTAACTGAGTTACCTTTAATTACTCATTTAATTGATTCCTGTCACATCAAGACTGCTGCTTCCTGGCTTGTTGTCTGCAATGTCATCAGACTTACCATGACTTGCAATAGGTACGAGTCTGGGGAAGTTACTACTTTGTTCATAGTTAGATTCCCTGTGCCTGCATCCACTGAGAAGACATTGTCTGTATTCCCTAAAGAAAATGGAAAGACCAGTCAATCACCAGATACCTTCATAAAGTGACCCGGAGTTCGTTAACTCATTTTTTCACATCTTAGTGACAATACACCCAGGGCATAATACTGTTTGTTTTCCTTGCCTGCCTGGCTGCTCCAAGGGCTGGAAGTGCTGGCCAGGGATTCAGAAGGACCCAACAGACAAAAAGCATTGAGATGTGTGTGAACCCAACTAGATGAGGTAGGACAGCAAAGGTTTGCCTTTCCAGTGCCTAAGCCCAGGTATAGCCAGCTTAAATTCTGCTAAATGCCTAGAGCCTAGAGACCCTGGTGCAATTTGAGGCCTGAAGGTCTCCAATTCTCTAACCCTAACCTGAACCCAAACCCTAACTGAACCCAAACTGCACTTCAGGAGAGATAAGGGAAAGATTATTCCTATTTTAAAGGCAAGAAACCAATCTACAAAGAATAGTTGCGTGGGGAATTGTCTAGAATATCTCTAAGCATCTAAAGGGAAGACATCTATACCTGACCTTGTTACCTATACTGTGAAGAGAAAATGGCATCTCAATGCATGATTTATTCAACTTACTGTGAACATTGGCCTCAACGTAAGCTGCATTCTGCTTTGGAAATGCTTATTTCTCTCTACTGACTACAAAAGGAGCCTAGACACAGACACCTTCTTGTATTGATGTAGGGGTAGAAATCAGCTTCCTACATCTCTAATCTGTTGTCGCGGTTTAACCCCAGCCAGCAGCTAAGCACCACGCAGCCGCTCACTCCCTCCCCCCCCATCCCGTGGGATGGGGGGGAAAATCAGGAAAAGAAGTAAAACTCCTGGGTTAAGATAAGAACGGTTTAATAGAACAGAAAAGAAGAAACTAATAATGATAATGATAACACTAATAAAATGACAACAGTAGCAATAAAAGGATTGAAATGTACAAATGATGTGCAGGGCAATTTCTCCCCCCCCGCCGACCAACCCCCAGCCAGTCCCCGAGCGGCGAATCCCTGCCCCCCACTTCCCAGTTCCTAAACTAGATGGGACATCCCATGGTATGGAATACACTGTTGGCCAGTTTGGGTCAGCTGCCCTGGCTGGGCATGAGAAGCTGAAAAATCCTTGACTATAGTCTAAACACTACTGAGCAACAACTGAAAACATCAGTGTTATCAACATTCTTCACATACTGAACTCAAAACATAGCACTGTACCAGCTACTAGGAAGACAGTTAACTCTATCCCAGCTGAAACCAGGACATCTATGTTTAAATCATAAAAACATCTATGTTGGATATATGTTAAAATTTAAGCAAAATTTTTAATTCTCTTCCACAGTCTGAGACACTGTGGGCTGTATTTAGACAAGGACCCCCTAGTCTGAGGTTCCCTACTGACTGTGGGGTAGGGAGGCAACACTACATCCAAAATGCCAGTGGATTTTAATGTATTTATTATCAGGAGGATATTCACAGATGTGGTGCCATGTGGCATAGGTGAAGGGAGATGAACAAGTAATCACTCCACCTGACCAATATGATCTACCTTTGCCTTGATAGTTATTCAAAACCCCACTATTGTTTAAAAAAAAAAAGAAAAAAAAATCCTTTGAATCAAATAAATGGCCCAGTCAATGATTGGGCAATCAGTTGACTGTGTTCAAGTCATCTTTTTGAAATCAAGACTAAAACAGGGCAGATTAGATAGTGGCAATGTGCTGGGGAATAAAAACATAATTCTTGGCAATGAATGAAAATTATGCTGATGATGTGGGAATTTCAGGTTCAGCTCAAAGACTGAATGAAAGTGGTGTGACCAGACTGGCAAAATCAAGTCTAAAAGCTTAAAGATAAAAGATGTCGCACCTCCCAAAAAATCAAAGTCCTTCTGAAACAGATTTCATTGAGATTGGTTTGTGGGACTGTAATTCTCTTTTTCTTCCTCTCTGTACCATCTGTTCCTTCTACTTAATCCACAGTGTTCTGTGGATCTAGTTATGTTTCTGTGGCAGAAATAAGAGGGGCAAATCCCCAGGCCCTCAACTCTCAAGTGCCATGGAGGGTATCTCCTCTTGGCAGATAATGTAGGGGACATATGAGCAATGCATTTTGTGGAAGGTGAAAACTTCTACTCACCACCAACAATACTGTACACGATTTTTTCATTTAAAGTGTAGTCAGGATCAATAGCATAGATAGGCCCCGGCTCTAGGATGAGTGGTTCTGTCTGCAGTAACAAGGCAAAGTATTACATACCAGACTACAGCACCAAATTAGCATTTGCAGCATTCTCCCACCCCAGCGTGGCTCTGGTGGTTTTGTCTGGGCAGAATGGCATTTATTGCTGGTAGATGGTTGTAACAGGGCAGAGGTGAGACAGCCTAGAGCAAAGGGTTTTCCAGCTCTCACCTATACTGTGATATGCTGAAGGAACAAGGACAAGCAGTGCTGCTTGGGGTGGGGGAACCTCCACTTTTCAGGATGATGAAGGCTCCCTGTCATGCTGAATCATCTGCATTTATGACTAGAGATCAGCATGAGCTCATGGAAGTTATTAGGCACTACCTGCTGGGAATAGCATCTGGATATTGTTTGAAAATAGCATCAAGGATACTGTTTGATCACGCCTTCTTACCGACATCTCAGAGATATTGATCCTCCCAGTATAGGGGCTGCTGATGCAAATGTTATTTTCCATGTTAATGAAGGCACAGGGTAGGAACCAGGGTGATTTGGTGTCAGCTTGTTCAATAAATATGTTTATTGTTATGGTAGCTGTGTTGGTGGTGTCGATGCTGCCCACAGGCCTGTCCTGTACCCAAAGGCAAAGCATATTCGTGAGATGCAAGTTTTATTACCAAAAGAAGAACCCATCTGCAAAAGCCAGTGGCCCAGGATCTTTTACCTGTTGCAACTCCATTCTGTCTAAGGCTTAGGATTTTATGTGAGATTAGCTAAAGCAGTGAATTATCTCATTCTGCTGACAAAGGTGGACTGAATGCAAGTCTGTCACTGCGTAATTATGGAGGGTGGAAGGCTGCTCCAAATTCACCAACCCCAGTATCCACCCTCCCTCCTGCCATCTCAGAGATCTCCCATTCAGACTTACCCTTCAGTTAAGAAAGACTGGAGAAAATAAGGCATTTTGTTCCTTCTAAAGAACTTACCCTTGCATACAAGACCAACGTCGTAAATTTAAATTTCTCATAGTCCAAAGCTTTTTGTAAATAAATTTCTGGGCTATTAACTCCTTTTATGGCAAAATAGCCATCTGTGCCCTGGCGGGGGAAAAGGAAAAACTCTACTAGCAGACTCAATCACAGACATGTTCAAAATACTGCTCATTGCTGTGTTTGTCATCCCAATCAGACATTTAATCCTGGGGACCTGGTTGGGGTGGGGGCACAGGGGGCACAGGGGGCAGTATGAGAATGCCAGCTCTGTTTAATCTTTGGTATTGCACACTGGAGTTGCCTAGCTCGTCAGAAAGGTTTGTTTGTGTTCCCGTGAGTTTCCTTCTCCAAGATCCCCTGCTTTGCCTGCCTACCTGCTCAGCAGGTACTGGATGAAATATTTTACCTTATTTCCTGCACTCAACAGGTTGCCAACAATCCTTGATTCTGGGTCCATGACAGCCAAGCAATCTTACATGCATGCACAAAACAGACCAAAGATGACTCAGCCTCAGAGCTGGCAAGATCACTTGCCTTAGCCTAGCACAGCTGAACTTTGGAAGCAACTGTAAAGCCAAATTGAAACAATATACAATGCATTTTACGCTATAACCTTTGGCACTTGCTTTTGTTCTCCTTTAATCTTATGTCTTGACTAGAATTCCTCTGAATTTCTAAATTCCTCTGGATTTACACCAATGTGAGTGCAAAGTCTGGTCCCAGAGGTGAAATTCAAAAACTTGTGGTTTCTGTTCACAACCCTTAAAATCCCTGGGGTTATGGAGGTAATGGAGGCGGAATGTCAGACACTGCCTGCTTACTGCACAATGTTTTTTAAAAATGTAAATATACATTTTGGTTTTCTCTTGAAGTTTTGTTTTGTTTTGTTTTGGGGGGTTTTTTTTAGTTTCTAGCAGGCCCTTGCACTCTAGGCTGGTATCAATTTAACTATGCATACAATTCATTTCCCATGTTATCAAGCAAACCCCTTAAGAGCAAACAAACTAAGGCACGAAACTGGGACCTGGGGAAAGTGGAGTCTGCCTTTGGCTTTGCCAAAGACTTTTTGTGTGATCTTGGGCAGCTCATGTTACCTCCACTCTGCATGGACACTGTTGGCAAACAGGACAATAACTCCTTTGTTCCCTATCCAACTCAGCGCAATTCTGAACTCTGTGAGGTACAAAGGTCTCTCCTGATATGTTTACTGACCATCCCAACAAGACTCCCCTGGATCATACAGCTCAGAATATCCCAGACGAAAGTTTAATCTGTACAGTGTAATAAAAATGTGAGCAGTAAAAGAATTCAATACCTGCAATGTTGATTGCTCTGTTCTGGTAACCAAACCAACATTTGGTTTTTGCAAAAGATGTACCTCTTCCAGAAGCTGTCAGAGAACTAAATGCAATACAGTGATCTTAGCCTCAAAGTTGGGGCTCTTCTGAATTAAACACAAAGATTTCTCCAGAGCTACCATTTTTTCCCCAAAGATTAAAGATGCTCACCGGCACTATTGTTGTGAGTTCATAAGAGATGGTGTCCAGGTCAGCATCACTAGCGCTTAAATCTTCACGGGCTACAATGGTTGCATTCACTTTTGTATCCTGAAACAAAGTTGTTGTGGTTACTGTCTCTGTGAAATGGGCTGAAGACTTCTCCCTGCTAACCATTCCTTAGTCCCACAGCACTGGGTGACCCAGTGCCCTCTTCACTTCCATAAAATGCTTACCTCAGGAACAACTTTGGTGAGATTCATTTGCTTAAACACTGGGCTGTTATCGTTCATGTTGAGAATGGTCACAAGAATTTCCAAAGAATCTCTCTGCAGAAAGGGTAAAGCAAGAGAATCAAAGACAAAGTAAGACTGTTAGGGGCTGATGCTGATTTGCAGAGTGACCAGAGGGGATGGTGTAAGGAGCACAGCTGGATGGGGGCTGGATGGGGCTGAGGTTTGCAGGCAGCCCACAGTGTGGAGGGGGTGTTGTGGGTTTGTTCCCACCCCCTCCCCATTCACAGGGCCTTGGGTACTCTCTCCTTGACTGTGGGAAGAATATGTATGTCCACAAAGAAAAGGACATCTCCTCATCCCAGTCTGTGGACTAGGAAGAGCAGAGGGAATTATGTGCTGCCTGCAGTACCTTATAACAGGGCTGAGTGTTTGGAAGAGCACTCACCTGCCCAGTAGTGTTCTGACAGATCAGGTACACCAGCAACAAGGTGTCTTTCTGTATGCAAAAACAAAAACCCAGCCATTGTAGAAACAAGCCAAAATGTACTAACTCTTTTAAAGTAAATGGGACAAATACATGCATTGCTGAATCAGAAATGCTGCTGGGCTTTAGCTTGTTTGCAGGCATATCTAACTTTTCCTTTCTTTCCTTTACAGCCATCCATCAGCTCTAGGATCTTGTTTATGGGGGAGTCAAAGGAGACCGATCTTCCAGCTTCTCTCCCTGTGATTCCTGTAACATGTTGGCAGAGCTCATCGGCCATTTTCTCACACTTTAGGTAAATTCACACAGAGATTTCTTTTTAAATTGAATGAAACAGAAATGTACCACACAGCAAGTACAGTGTTGCCTGCAGGGTGTTAACTATCTGCTGTTCTTCGCTCAAATAAGTGTGGCTTTTTACATTAGGGGAAAGGCAGCTTAAGGATGTTTGTGGCTGTGTACAGAGCACTCCAGTAGGGTAAAATAATTCAGCAGCAACCAAACTGAACACACTGACCTTTTACACTGCCTTTATGCCTCACACAAGATCACCTCACTGCTCAGAACTGTGTTTTCTACAGGCAAATGGGGATCATTTTACATGAGTCCTGGAGAGCTCTGAACACTACAGTTGTCACATTTTTGGTTTTAAAACTTGCCCTTGCTTTAATTGATACAGACTCATTGAAGGAAGGTGACAGTAGGCATACCATGCATCCCCCTCCTCCCTATACTCTGCTTGTGGAAGGGCTGACCTCCCAAGCAGTGAACCCAAACCTCCCAAGCAGTGAACCCAAACCGAACTGAAATAGGTTTATTTTTCAAAGTTATTTCCTAGATCCTTTAGAAACAGGTTACAAATCCCTGGAAGCCCAAGACCCCAGGTTGAAACTCATTGCATCCCAGCATTATCCGTCTCATCCTTATAGCCTGCTAGCTGAAGGCTTACCTCATAGTCCACGCTTCGGTTCAGCTGCAGCTCAGACCCCCGTATAGTGAAAAAACTGGCATCGGGGGAAGTAGGATCAATCATTACAATGAAGTCTGGTTCCACATGGATTGTGGTCACCACGTAGCCAGGAGGGTTATTTTCATAAATTGTTGGTTGTCTATTATTGACAGAACATCCTGGAAAAACACACAAATGAGACACAAAATTGCCCAGGGATTCACATCGTGACAGAGTTGGGTGAGACCTGAGACGCCTCTGGTTACCGTTGGAGAGAAGGTTGTTGAACAAAGCTGTCTCAGAGTAGGAGTATAAAAATCTTCTGCCTATAACAGTGCAACCTGCTGCCCTGGGGGTTACTCCTCTGTGGTCATGGACCTCCTGCAAGAGCTTACCTTGTTGCTGTGTTGAAACATGTGTTATGAAGGACAGAAAAAAGAGCACAGAAGTGAGGAGCCAGTGAGAACGAGCCATGGTGAGCTGTGAGTTGTTGAAAAAATCCGTTTCTGATTAAGCCGATACTCTTCTTTCCCTGTTTCTCCCAGTGCCGTCTTCTGCGTTTACTGTTTAATGAACGCAAAAGGCATTGGCTGGCTGGAGTGGATTGCTGCAGTTCAACCTTTGCCTCTTTGCCTCATTGGATGACTTATTGAAAGATATTTACCAGTCATGGAAAATGATAATGCATAAATTCCTGTGTCTCCTTTGTTCCTGGGTCTTTCCTATCCTAAACTCTCTGTAGCAACAAGGATATATTTGAAGCATTTCAGAATTCAGAGCCAAGCCCCCTGAGATGAGCATGAGCATGAAGGAGCACAAGGGCTGACACTTGGGAAGCTGTTTGTATACTCCAGCCTCTCCCAGTGGGGAGGAAGTGGGCAAGTTTGTGTTTCTGATGGGCCAGAGATAGGGTCTGGTTCGGTCAGATCATTTCCTGGAAAAAGGCATAATGATGCTACTATATCCCCTACATCTTATTTATTTTAGCCAGGCTTTTTCTGCATGGCCCACATTCCCTCCTGTAACAGGTTTTTTTCTCCGCCCCATGACTTATGGTTTCTCTCCTCTAATTGCCATCTGTCATGTTGTTCCTGAAAAACAGATTAAAAAAAAAAAAAAAAAAAAGTTTAAAAAGCCAGCTCTCAAATGTCTTATCTTTATTTCTGGAAAAGGCAAAGGTTTCAGTGAAGACAAAGCCATCTTCGCTGCTCTTTTGTTTGGATGGTAAAAGAAGGAGCCCTGTGTAAGTCCTTGGCTTGAGTTAATCAGTTATGTTTCTGAGACAATCTTGTTATTCCCAGCCCCCCTACAGTACCCTCGCAAGGTGAGCAGAGTGGATCCAGAGACAGCAATAGCTGCTCAGCTGCAGCCCTGTGATTGCCCAGAAGGGACAACGCATGTCTCCTTCTACCAGTGGCCTGCAGTAGCTCTTTGTAGGGATGCTCCCCAGAATCTCCATCCAGGCTCCAATTATTTACATCTCAGCAGCTTCCTGAAGCCTCAATAGCATGCTATTCTGCTGTCTTGTCCTGTCTTTTTCTGAGTAAATTTTTCCAAGCCAAATATCATGTGGCAAGGCATTTGGCCACTTGTGCAAAGAAACACCTTTTTTTTTTCAACTTGCTCATTGTGTAGGAAGGAGGAAAAAGGGGACACTTGCTCTCACTGCTCTTTTTAAAATTCCATTTGACTTCAGAAAGTTCCCAGATGCTGCATTTTAGCCAGATGGCTGTTAGTGGCTTAACAAAATACAGGCTGTCAACACTTCTTCCAAAAGTCCTCCAAGAGGTCTCTTTCCTAACAGCGATTTCCTATGGACCAAAATAAACAAATGCTAAGGTCTGTGAGAACCCTTTCATTCATTCAGCATTTCAGCATCACAGTATGGGAATGGGTGCTTAGATGAACATTTGAGAGTGACTAGCTTCTTTACAGCTGTCAGCTACATCATAAATGGTGAAAACTGATGATGCAGGATGGACTGAGCAGTTCTGCGGTAGGCACACACGATTGCAGATGAAGATACCTTATTTTAGAGCTGCTCTTCAAAATCTGTTGATTTTACAGGAAAGATGGAGTTGCTGTTCTATCAGAGGAGGGAATCTGCCAGGCAAGACAGTGTAGGGGTAACATGTAAACCTCATTAAATGGTGGGAACAAATTCCTCCTTTTGAAGCTTTGTCTTTAGGGGTTATGAGAAAGCTGGGCCTGTAAATACAGGGGCAGAATGGAGTGCAAACAATATTTATGGTGTGTATCTATGTTGTGTAGCTCTCAGTACATTTCTTTGCAATAAAATCTAGCACCTGGCTAAGTTTCTACTAAATGGAGGCCTTGATGCTGGCGTCTTTGTACGATTGGATTTGTGGTTTGTGAGCAGTGCTGAGTCCCAGCCACAGAAGATGCAGCCAGGGAATCCAGCTAGTCCCAACATGCCTCGTGTGGGGGAAGCCTTGCAAAATACTTCCCCCCCAACCCTGCATTTCTAATAGTCCAACACCTAGTAATGGTACCACCCTTACTACTGTTTCCCAAAGAGCAGCCAAAGCACAGGTGTAGCTAACAAATCTTTATTTGACTTCAGAAGCAGGCAGCCAGATGCTAACACAAAGTGGAAGTGATGTGCTTCATTCAGGCTCCATCTACTGACAGCAGTTCACACTGACATATATTTCACTCTTGATAATCTTAAGAGGCTTTATTGGGTTTTGGCTGCTTTCCAGAATTTTTTTTATTTGGTGATCTCAGGAGTTTTTCCTCAGTAAATCCAATAGCTTCCCTGTTTATTTTCAAGGCTATATACATGCAAAGCTGTCTCCTTGGCTGTTTCTTTCCCTTCAACTTCAGTCGAAACTGTCTGTATCTTCCTTCATGTCTGTAACCAGCTGCTTAGAGATGGGGCAAACATACTGGCTGGTAATTGCAGCAGCTTCCCTGGCATCACTCTCTGAGTGGCTGTTGGAAGGGAAAAAATGAGTGATAGTTTGTTATTCCTGGGGGCACAGACTGCAGTAAGTGTGACAAGGCTACCTTGTAAAATTCATCAAAAAGATGACTCCAAGGAGCAGATCATGATAGACGGACCCAGATCATGGCTGTCTGCAGCCAGGCACCCCACAAATGCACAGGCAAGTCTGTTAGTGTTATCATCCCTATTTATTCTAGGCAATGTGGACAAGAGGTACTAAAGGCCAGCTTATTCCTCCTAATTTTAGTGATTTAACAGCGAGATGTCTAATTGAAAGTGGTTGGTCACTAGGAAGAGACAAAGTCCAGATGCTAGGACAGCCCATCCTGAGGTGTGTGTTTGAATCAATAACTGAATCAAGACAGGGTAGCAAAGGCTTTCTATTTTAACTGTTAGATCAGGTTTCTTAATGGGATGAACAATTGTTTCAGTCCAGGATAACAACTCTTTGATTAGAAAAATATATTCTTTCATTTCCCTGGGGTTTATTATTTTTAATAACTGGCTTTTATATGGCACTTAGCTGTAAATCTCAGTGCCAGCTTTGCTTTAGGTAAGGCAAAACTGAGTGCCAGGTGGGCTTGGCATGTAGAAATAGAGATTACCATGAATGTAGGCACGGAAATCAATTGAGATTGCACACAGCCACATTGCACCTTGCAGTTAGACTAAAGCATTTGCTTTTCTAGCTCTGCAAACCACCCCTGGGAGTGTGGTTGCTGGCAGAGTGACAGGAGGTACAAAACTGTGTGATGGAGGGCTGCAATTCAGCAACGACAGCCCCTGAGACAATGTCTCACAAGCTGGTGGGGAATGAGGCAGAAGTGATTTTAAAATATGGTCAATTTAATAAATCTTCCACCCTTCCCCTTTTTAAGGATATTTTTGAGGATATTAGCTGAGTCCTTCTGATCTGCTACATTACATCAGACTGCTATGCTTGTGGGAAAAACTGGGAATTTACAAGTTACTAAAAGTCCTCTTTTGGCTTCAAGACTGTGGTGATCAGGGCCACAGAGGTGACAAATCTGTCCCACCTACCTGGTGTTTAGAAAGCTCTGGTACAACCATATAAAGCAAAGTTCCTCATGGCTGTTTTCTTCCTCACTCCCCTGCACATCTGTGTAGACTGGTCCTGAAGAGCTGGTTAAGAAAAAGAAAATTAATGATAATTTTAAAAAACCCAAACAAGTAGTGTAACCACCACAGCTGTAAAGCAGCACTGCTGTCTGGAAGGCAGGTTCACCCCACCACCGACCTGCCCCATGGTCCGTGCTCTGTTAACCTGCCAACTGTCACCATAGCTGTGCAGAAAGAAAAACAAGTATCCTCTTCAAATCAGGCTCAGATGCTTCCTGGCTGGCAAAGGGACAGGCTATAATATGCACTTGCACTCTGCCTCATTACCCAGTACCAGCATGTCCTTCTGCCCATGGATATATACCTTTTTCCAGCATTTGGAAATTAAAAACCCACTGCATCTGCCAGGATTTTGTTAGTGGTGCATGCCCCAGAAAATATCAAATCACCCTGAACAGATGGGAAGGAATCAATGTGCTATGTCTCTGCCTTGAAGAATGGACCAAGCTTGAAGGAAACCTCTCCAGGCAATGTTGTCCCTTCATAACATACCAGCAGCAGTTGTGAGTTGTATCACAGTGCACCACATATTGTAACTGATGATGTGCTCATATACGTGGCTTCAGTGGGAGCTAGTGGCCCCATATTTTGGCTGGATGAGCGACCCCATATTGGCCATATATATGATTATGTCTAAAGCCTGGCCAGTTTGGCAGTCAGAGCCATGGGTGGGGACTATGAAACCCAAAGGTCTTCCTAATTCTGATACAGAGCCCATTTATCTACAGTTTCTCAGGTGCTTTATTTGAAGTAGGTAAATCATCTACAACTTTCCCCAAAAGGCTGAATCAAAATGCAAACAAAAAATCCCAGGCTGTAATCTGATGTAAAGTTTTGTGTCCTATGGATTAAGCTTGAAATGCATATGCAACAGATAATGTTGTTTTATGCTTAGAAATGGCCTCAGTGAGAAGGTTTGTGAACTGCTCTGCCTGCTGGGACAGGCAGGGCAGACTGATGGGATATCTCTACTATTGCACAGCAGCTTCAGGCACAGCCTAGTGGGAGGAGACCAAGCCCCAGCCCACTTGCCCTTGTCTCAAGTTTTCCAAACCACTGGTCATGCCACCCCACTTTTCCTAGACGTGAGACCTGTCTCCCTGCAGCCTGCATGGCCCAAGCTGCCTTCCCATTCCCCAGGAAGCAGAGCTCTTACCTGCGCTTGCGGCCCATGAGATTTTGAATGAATTTCTGAACCTGAGCGTTTCCTCTGATCTTGCTGTATTCACTGGTGAACAGTCCATCTGAATGCCTCTGGGACCTGCGTCAGGGAAAATACAGTACAAAGGCTGCTCCTCCCAGCCATGTGATGTGGGACTTATCACAAGACACAGAAATTTCTCTCTTCCCACTGTCAAGGAGCCCT